ACTAGAGCGCGTCGTTTAATAAAATCCAAGTACCGGTACCAATGGTACCTGATTTTCTGCGAATTTATATATTTTTATAATCAAAACGTAAACTTTAGTTTTTATTAATATAAATTCTCGTTTTTTTGCAATCAAAATATCAGTCAATTCACGGCGAATGCCAATCCACACCATGCCGTGACCAATTTGAATGAATGAAATCTATTAAAATGTGTGACAGGTATGTACGATACACAAATTCCTATTATTGTCGAGTGCTCCACTGTTGTCACATCAAGGTTGAAGAGCGTGTGATAAAGTGCTATTTGCAGTCGGATATGGATAGCCATTAATGTCGGATATCACGAATTTATAGCTTGATATTGTCATTATCTGTTATATACCTACGTCTAAATGAAAAGTCTGTTTAAAATACATGTATACAAAAACAATTGCCCAATATACTGTAAGCGCATCTCATCAAATCAGCAGTAACTATTTGGCTAATTCTAAAAATAGAACGACGATAAAACTTGCATTTTATATAAATTATTATACATACATAAGACAAATATTAAAAGGATTGAGGTTCAGTTATTTTTTATTCGAAGCCAAGTCTGTTACGAAGCCGGGATTTGCAGCTAGTCATTCATGTATATATATATATATATATATATATAAACAAACGATACTCAAAAAGTAAACTTAAAAGAGGTCAGTATTAGAATTCGTAACGTCTTTTGTTATTGTAACGAGACGCGGCGAAGGCGTGAGAACTGTGGCCGATCTTTACCGAGGTCGCCAGATGGAGATAATATCTACAAGATATACCTTAAGCTGTATCACTTTATTGTTTGTTGTTGGCACGTACTATTGTTACCTTATTCACATCGCCATAGGGCTATGGATTTCGACATGACGATTGTATGTAATATAATGAGATTGTCGCAACGCAGATTCAATCATTTATTTGGATGTGAAAAGTATAAGGTACAGTCTTTTATATACAAAATTATATGTAATATAGTTTGGCAATTATTGTAGTGAAACATATTTCTCTGCAGATAGATAGACAAAACTTTTATTTGCATTAAAGTAGATACTAATTACAATACGCTCAATTAATAAAATACAATATAGGTACAAAAAACACGTGAGTAATGTAGTGTGTGCATCGCCCATACGGTGCAAACCACTGATTTACAGGTATTTCCCAAGAACATACACGATAGAGAACATACAGATAGACTTCACTATTAGTACCTAGTATTAAAAGTATGTTAAAGTTTCAACATATGCTGCCTATATAAATTAATGTATACTGTGCTAATAGTATACATTAAATTACATAAAGAAGGCTCTGATAGACGAAAATACCATATGTTTTAATTCTATTGCATTGCTCTCCCAACCTACATATTTATATATTACTTTAAGATATAATAAACACTTTTTAAAAACTATTATGGAATTTTTCAGTTATGCAAAAGCAATCTATTATACTATTATAGTTTCAGTTGTAACCATACATCTTTAGAAGTGAACAATTGAACAAATGTATAGAATATTTTATACAATTCACGGTATCTTACATGTATTGTTATTTGAACTAAGGCATTATGCCTCTTGTCCAGAGACAAAACAACAGAATGCATTGACACCTGTTTCATTGCAGAAATAACATAGAAACTCGTACGATGGCAGTACTAATTGATGAGCCACACACAACTGCCATAGATAAGTGTTTGTTTTCTTTACTTTATTTTTCAGCGACTGGGTAATAATATACTGATAATTTAGTTTTATTACACTAATGAAAGTAAATAATTATACTACTATTCATTCATTCATTAAATTGTAGGCGGTGTATCTATTTTTATTATTTCGATTTTGTCCAATTCTCCTTACACTTTATTTAAGAACATATTCAGTGAAAATTTCTCCAGCATTTTTACGTGATTCCTTAATACAGCAGCTTAGGCAGATGCCAACACTAACAGGCAGTTTTAGCCGCGTCACGATTTTATTATATGTGTAAAATAAAGTACAACTCTATATAATATTTTGCAGTGATTTTAGATTATTAGCCGAAGAATGATGATGCTAATCTGGATGACCGCACCCTTACTAGGAGTTATTTATTGATTTAGAAATATATTGTTTCGCTCACTTCCAGGTCAGATACGTGACAACCTTTTCTTGCAAATGGCGATGTAGTTAATGGTATTTGATATTTATAGTATACTTGTTCGTTTGATTTGAGTATTGCTCTGAGGTTGAGGTACTAAATTGAATTATGTGCAATATTTCATGAATATTGAATAATTAATATTATTGTAGTCATATCATTTGACCATTCTCTGTCGCCTCTCTAATGCTTCATCATATATGTTTTCTTTAATAAAATTACAAATTAGTAGAAAATACTTAGATAACGCAACCTACTTGCTGGTTTTTCCACGGTGTGGTCGCTCAGATTAAAAGATTCTCTCTAAGTTCATTATTTATTTAAAATATAACGTTTTCGCCTAAATATTTAATACATTATGGTTCAGTTAGAGCGACTATTATTAATGATATTCTGTAAGAGCCTGAACTAAGTAAACTCACAGGTTTACATCAGAGTGTTTAAGGCAATAGATCGGTTGATCGGTAAGTAAGTACATAGAAAATGATAGTTCACAACTGCCGGTGTGAGATAAAGGAAGCCATTACTCGTTTCGTTACGGTAGCACATCTCTATTGCACAAGTTGAATATTCCCACGATCTATTGAGACGGTATAGACGGTGGCGAAAATTGACGCCTTAGAAGATAATCTGGACCAAATCGCCTTTAAAACATTTCTGTGCTACCCTAGAATAATAAAGAAGTCTGGAAGATTAAATATTAAAGAATGTATTATGATTGACTTTACTAGTAAAGCGGATAGAATCTATCAATGTCTTTTTTTATATAGAAAATCTGTACTTATAATATAGGTAAATACTATTAAAACAATTATAAAATGGAAAAAGTCTTATGTCGTTATATTTTCTACTATTGCTTATCATGAGATGGAACAGATTGTATAATTAAGAATTCCCAAACATAATAGAAATTTAGTCAATTTTTTTGTCTACTGCTTGAAATTCGATATCATTATGTATTCATCTATTGTTATTATTACAATGTGTTATTTTGCACGATATTTTAAATGTTAACAAAACAACTTTCACCCTAATTAAAGTGGACATTGACAGAGCATCTTCGAATCTTAGTTTTGTCTATAAGTTCAATGTTTTATGCTCCAATAACTAGCTGATTCCGCAAACATTGTTTTGCCACATAAATTAAAAGGGGATGATGGTAGAAGGGTGAAAATTTAAGGCTGCATGTTTTTATAATGCCGAATCATTAGAAAATAAAAATAACAATTTTTAAAAATGTAGATGTTGGCCGATTCTCAGACAAGACAAAATTTTATAAAAATCGGTAAAATCCTTTCGGAAAAGTATAGTGACTAACATTATGACACGAGAATTTTATTATATAAGATAATAATAAAATCACAACAAAAATTCCACAGCGCCACATAATCCCAAGCTAAGCACACCTTGTATTATAGGTACTAAATAACTGATACAAATGCTTATATATTTTTTATAAATACGTATATAATATACATTGAATTACAAACACTATGTGCTACACACGACTTCGTCAGCTTTTTGAGATGAAAAATTTTAAGTTTATCTAAACGTGATACAATCTTCCAGTCGTAATCGTGTAAAAGTACACAAAAAGACAGACGCGCTTTCGTTTTTATAATATTAGTAACGTATACGAGAGATTTAATGACCTTGTCAGTTTTAGATTTAGTGACTAGTCACTCGCAAAATCTTACAATCATGCAATGACCAAAGGTTATAATAAATGTTCGAGATAACGATCATGGTTTTTATATATGTTTCGCAAGAATGAAACGAAATTATCTAACAATGAGCAAATTACAGTCATGTTACAATTTAATACGCCCATTGCAAATTTATTGTGTCGGTAATCAGACCAACAGCGATTACAATATGAGATCCATCTCATAATTAATGATACAACAACAGGAATTATGTATTGTATTATTTAGATGTTCAATTTAATATACAACGAGTTAGAAATGTAATGCAAGTTATTGAAGTATTAGTATTATATTATATTAGCATGCTTAATTGGTACATGTACATTTTTTTGTATTAGATATAATTTATTTGAAACATTCATTTTTATTTAGGTAGATAGAGGGATGTATCTAAAAAGGACAAATCTAGATGCTACATCTGAGAAATCTCAGTACTATATTATTAATATTATAAAAGTGAATGTTTAAGAGTACAGATGGATGGATATTTGTTACTGTAATATGTAAAAACTACTGAATGGATTTTGATGAAACTTTACAGTAATATAGCTTATACATTATAATAACAGTAGATTATAAATTTCAAAATACACTACACAGCCGATGCCAACAATTTCGTCGACGTAGTATTACCACATTACTAATCTATTTTTCGACTATTATGAGTTCTATAGCCCTTGATAAATAAACTTTTTCCTCATATAATGTTTCTTCCGCTCTTTCAACTTTCAGTTCCAACTTTCAAGCCCCTTGAATTTTTGTTGTCGCGACAAAAGCAACCTATACCAAAATATATTAATAATATTTAAAACAGCAGTTTAGCGAAAAACCATAATAAACGAACTCTATTTGCATCTGTAATTTCAATACCTATAGGTTGTTATTAAAATCTTTTAATATTATTATAGGCTCTATGTACTACGTATTTTGTACATAACTTTTAACTACAAATAAATATAAATACATAAACACAAATGTTTGTACAGTGCGAAAAATAGAATCCACCGAGGTTGTAAATACTTGTATCATTATATTAAATTTTTCTGACATAATTATGAAAACAAAATTAATAATAATAGCTAATTTTGAAAATTGTGTTACCTAAAACTACTTCTATTTCTTTCCAGGTGCACAGTAAGGGACTTAAGTTCGGTATCTATGAAGACTACGGCAACTTCACCTGTGCAGGATATCCAGGCGTAGTGGGACATCTTGCAGGCGGTAAGAAATTTCAAAATAATATCTATATATCTGAGGGTACTTGTAGATTTAGGAAGGGATGAACGCTACAAAATACAATAAAACTCATAACATCCATACTATATGTACGTCGCGGGTTTCGGACAATGATATCTGGTAATGATAGTAGCTCTCGTAGTCTATTAGACTGGTAATATACAATCGGTTAGGCTGATAATACACACGATAATGATGGTAACCCTCGTAGTCTATTAGACTGGTAATATACAATCGGTTAGGCTAATAGTACTCACTCAGTTTGTCTTAGTCGCGTCCAGGTATTAAACCTGGACGCGACTAAGACTAACTGAGACTAACCTTTCAATAGACTCGGATTGGCGTATTCCGGCAAGCTGACGCCTAACCAACTATAAATTATAATCTTTAAGTCTATTACATCATATTTTTTTCGTTTACTTTTATTACATGTCATACAATTAACTGTTTCTTTGATAAGTTTTGACAGATTACACTAACACAATGTACAGCTAATTAACATTTACTATAACATTCATTGTACGTCGTAAAAGTTAAGAAATAATTAGACAGGTGCGTACTTTCAGTTTATGAACGATTAGTCCATATGACTCTTAACGCGTTACTCAACGAGATGGTGTTATTTAAACGTTAATTAATTAAAACTTAACATTACTAACTTTTGGAAATATGTAGATATTTCATGCGATAGAACATATTAAAATATATTAAAATGATACATTCATCATGTACTTCTTCCTTATCCCATTTATTTGGGGTCGCCGTACATTGTTATATTACGTTGGCATTAGAATATTCGAGATAGGTAAAAACAGACGTATTATAAAAATGTATAACTATATTATTAACGATGGCCTATATATGTAGATGCTTATGTAGATGATATAGTTTCAAAACGAATTTTATTCATTGTGGCACTATTGTTACGTTTTAGCATTTAGGTTTTGAGGCGTTACAACCTAATTAATAGAGTATATTGCATTCGAATTGTATTCGAAAGTTACTTTCTTTTTTAGTTATTATACACAAAAAATTAAAAAAAAATATACGAAAAATTATACAAAAATTGATATAGGGCCGAGACGAGAGTAAATAGGTTCACGATTGTCATAGATATCGCGTGACCTACGTATAGAAAAATACAGTCGTATTGAGGTTGTTTTTATATTTTAAAATTGATTAAAATAAATAAAATTGTGAGGGGGATCATTTTCTGTGTGTGCGATATCGTTAATTTCATTGCGCGACCTATGACTGCCTACTAGTTACATAAGCTGGCGTGTTGCAAAAATGTCTGACCAGTGCCCCTTCCTGAGCAGTGCAGTGAGTCAGTGGAATACAAAATACGTACATGCAACTTCCTCTAGCAACGTAACCTGCCTACCAGACATTGCCGTTGCACTAAAATTGCAGTGTAGGTACTAATAAATGTGTTGCAGTGCATTTATAAACACGCGACTACTGAAGTAGTTACGTTTTTGCACATATTATATGAACGTATTGCTTTTTTATTACAAGCGTGTTGGTATGTATTTATTCAAATCTATTAATAGAAATTTATAGCAGTTCCTCCCATCAGATTGGACTGACATTTGGAATTCATATGTAGTTAAATGACAATAGATACTATTTTCTAGTTACAATTGAATCGGTTTCATAATAGAGATGGGTGTCAATAACTTTGAAGCAAATAATAATATAAAGCAATGCTTTCCTAGAAAGGAGCGAGGATAAATAAATACAACTCCAACCAGTTTGTGCTTTAATTTGTCTCACTTTGTTTCATTTATTTATCCAAAAGATATTAGTAAGCGATCGTGATTCCATTGAGGTAAGTATTCTAAACAGAATTACGTTTTCTATTAGATTTCATGAATACTAGCACTAGAATAAACTCGGATTAGTATATATGAAAATAGAAATAATATTACAAATTTTGAGGAAATCGTCTGGGTCAAAATGTAACCTAAATTATGATTTTTCGACAAAAAGTAAACTAAATTCCAAATTCATGATACTATTTATTGAGTTTCGTATTTTAATCATATGTTGTAGGATAATAATATTAATAAACTGTTTTTTTTTTCAAAGACGAATAATGTTAAATCATAGTACTTAATAATTTTATACAACTTTGAATACCCCAGGGAGCCATTGTATAAAGCCGGCTTGTTATGGGTACTCCTGTTGCACCCGCTTCTTTTATAAAACAGCTTGCTTTGCAAGGTCCATTCAGGTTTTTAATCCAAGTATCATAGTCGAATTAGAAGTTATTTTAACATTTAACATTTTAGTCCTTAGGATTAGGGTAACAGCTAGTGTTTTTTTTTTCGAACTATTCGAAAGTTGTTGGCCGCAGCTAGGCTTCATCGAACGTTATGGGGTGAGTACAAGGGCGCTCTAAATTCGTGGATGAACTAATAAAAAGACGAATGCCACCTCCTATCTGACGGATATGACTTCACTCTAAGTATGGAAAGGTGTTCGAACCAGATCCGCTCAAATTTGATCCCGTATTGAATGAGAACGGAGTATCGATCAGAACTGTAGAGGAATTCTGGAACATTCCAAAGTATAATATGATTTTCATGTTTCATTGCGGTGTTAATCACTTTCTTTAAGGTGGGACATTTGCTCATTGACATTCCGGTTATAAAAAAAGCAAGCTCGCAGTTTGATGTAAAGCGGTAACTGTTGCCAATATACATAAATGCATGATTTATATAAGTTCAATAGATTATTAATCCTTCATAAATCACTGAACTGCGATGTAAATCACTACAGCTTAATCGGAATTCACTTCCTTATTTCACCTAATTGCTATTGAGATTTATTTATTGTTTCGCACCTATACACCAGTATTTATGTCTTTTCTTTAAAAATACTTATTTGGTGGTTAATTACTTAACATAGTTGAAAGCAATTATGTGGGTTTTAAGTATGTAGTATATTTAGTAAATGAATATAATAATAGGTTTTATTTGCAAGTTAGGTAATTGCTTACAGAAATAATTACCTATGTTGCCAAATAAAGTTTTGTTCGTAACAGCAAATTTAAATTTTATTTAAAAGTGACTTTTAGTAATTACCACACAATACATGTAGATTATAACTGCAATTAATATATTAGGCAAATAACTAGCATCGCGACTAAATAACTGACAAAATTATAATTATCAATTATTTATTTTCATTCGATCACGTACATATACCTACATCTTTTTATTGTTATTATAAGTAAGAATTATACATAAACTAGCTAGTTTATGTATAAATCTTACTTATACGGACGGGTACCCGTTCGGGCTACGCACGGATGTATGATAAACTATATCGCTCTATCTATTGCTAAAAATTGCATTAAAATCCGTTGCGTAGTTTAAAAGATCTTAGCGAATAGATAGCGAAAGCGACTTCATTTTCTGTCAATACAAAAAAATATCGTCGAAAGCCAATTTAATATAGAACTTTTCTAGCTCTGTATTCTTTTTCTGTTCTTGATCTTGTTCTTTTAGTTCAATCGTACCAAGCAGAGTATGACTGAAATTGAGGCTATAGGGATATTTCACTCAAAACTATAGTTAATATAGGTGATGATATCTGTTATATAAAATCCAATGCTTATATTAGCTTTTGCTCGCGGCTGCGCTCGCGTTAATTTATCCCCTTAGGGATGGAATCTATCAAAATCCTTTCTTAGCGGATGCCTACGTCATAACATCTACCTGTATGCCAAATTTCAACCCGATCCGTCCAGTGGTTTAGGCTGTGCGTTGATAGATCACTATGTCAGTCACCTTTGAGTTATATATATTTAGATATTAAGGTAATTAGAGTTCTTTTGGGGAAAATTGTTTAAATCTCGAAAGTCACATTCGTCATCACCGGTGTTACGTCCGTCTTTGTGACAGCAATTTTGTTTTACAAAAATATTCTACATATCTACCTATGCCCAATAAAGTTAAAAAAACCTTATAAACTCTATTGTTTTTCTCCGCTTCACAGACGCCGCAACTTTCGCATCATGGGGCGTAGACTATGTCAAGTTGGATGGATGCTATGCTCTCCCTGCAGATATGGACCAGGGTTACCCAGACTTCGGCCGTCAATTAAACAGTACTGGTCGTCAGATGGTGTACTCTTGCAGTTGGCCGGTGTACCAGATATACGCAGGCATACAAGTAAGGCGATGGGAAAAGGAATGTGGTATTTTATTTTCCTTTGTTTTTTTAATTATTTAAATTTACTCTAAAGATATTTACATTATTTTATTATTCAATAGTCCTAATATAAATTATGCGTAGTTATTATCTACGGGGGTAACGTTGTCTTACCTTTTTACTTCTATGCAGCTTGCCTAATTAGCTGTATTTCGACTTAAGGATGGGTCAAGCCAGTTAAATTAGATAGACGGACATCACAAGTTGATTTTGAGTCACATAATTAACTTGTATAGTTGACTTAATTGATGTAGTGGAGTAGTGTTATATCCAATTTCCAATGTCTTCCAGCCAAACTTCTCATCCATCATAGAGCACTGCAACTTGTGGCGCAACTTTGATGACATCCAGGACTCGTGGGCCTCCGTCGAGTCTATAATAGACTATTACGGAAATCACCAAGATGTCATCGTACCCAACGCTGGACCAGGCCATTGGAATGATCCTGATATGGTAAATATAAAATAATTGTGTGGGACTGTGTGTAGAGCGTTAGGGTCGGTGCAGCCAACGATGGTAGTAATTAAAGGCGCAATATGGTTGCGAAATAGCAAAGCTGATATAAGTAAATAAATAGTTACTTGAGTAACAAAGTAATTCAGTCATAGTTATCAGAGCAGATCAGTTCCTACAGCAGCACCCCTGCACGAATATAACGGGTGAGCGTGCCATCACTGCACTCAACCATATTTTAGGGAGCCGAGCAACGAAATTACAGGATAAAAGGCGTAACATCTTAGTCCTCTGAATCACGAATGTCACATTATCACATAATATCCGTAGATATTTACATATACGCAATGGTTACTGCTTAATACCAAGTGGCAATTGGCAAGCAAGCCGTCTGCTACTCCAATTGTATAAAAAAAAAATAGCGATGAATTTATCACTATTACTGCAATATCGTGTATATAATCAATATCATTGAATCTATTGGTATTAATAATTATGCTTAATGTGTCTTAAATGTGGGTTTTAAACCTCCGTTACTTCAAGCGCCTAATGCTCCATAGGCTACAATTATGCAGTATTTTAATAGTCAGGCGTTTCAAGTGATCGTTGCTTCACGAAAATCCCAATCACTTTTAAATTTACAATGAAATAAAAACAATATTTTTTCTTTTCTAGTTAATTATTGGCAACTTTGGATTATCGTACGAACAAAGTAAAACCCAGTTTGCTATTTGGGCTATCTTAGCGGCACCGCTGCTAATGAGTGTGGATTTGAGGACTATCAGACCCGAGTACAAGGCTATCCTGCAGAACAGGAAAATTATTGAGGTAGACCAAGATCCCCTTGGAATCCAGGGCAGGAGAATATACAAGGTAAGCTTTGGTACATAAGATACCCCGATATAACAACGATAAGTAAAGTAAAGATAAAATAAATAAATAAATAAGTGTCAGTTAAAGTACATTTTACATTTTCATTTACAAAACAAACCAATCTAAAACGAGATTTGTATATTGTAACTTACTATATCCTTTTTTAATAACGTATTAAAAATTTATCTGAAAGACGGCAGAATCTACCAACGTACCATGGATTTAAATACACCCAAAGAAATGTGTCAATGTTGTCAATTTCCAAACATTATGACTATCGAATCTGTACTCTTTGTCTTAAAGATTATTATTATAACAAATATTGTTATAATAATGATAATGATTACAACAGTAACAGTTTACAACTAAAATGAAATAATTTTGTAATGTTAAATATATATCTTTTGATTTTCCATAAACTTCTTGCAAAACATTTCAGATCTATGATCTATATAATGATTATGAAATTTCTTGTAACAGATACAAAATTAGTCATTCCTTTATTTAACAAAACTTCTTTGGCGTGTTAAGCTTGCTCTTGGAGATTATATGACTTTTCGGTTATTTTCAGCACCGTGGCATAGAGATCTGGTCTCGTCCAATTCTACCAATCCAGGGACAGTACTACTCATACGCTGTTGCTTTCGTGAACAGACGAACAGATGGTACGCCATCAGACGTAGCTGTAACATTGCGGGAATTGGGTCTGAATAACCCTGCCGGATACAGAGTGGAGGTTAGTTAAAACAAAAAGCAATTTTACAGAAAGTGACCAGCCTTACGAATTGTGTATATAAGCCTGTAGCACGATGGTTATCACCATACCACTGTAGCATTATATGTGGTGTGATGAAGTGATGAGGTGTTGCTACTTAATTTATTTGTTTCCTGTATTATCTAGGTAGTGAGTATACAGGTGCAATGGTTGTACTACATTAGTAAATTTATTTTGATCGTGCTTTACATGTTATATTATAAACAATAACACTCAACTCGGAGTCGTAATGCGGAGACTTTACACTGAACCGAAATCAAAATTGTGTGGAGACATAAACAACTGGAAGGATGCCGAGTGTTGATTGAAATATTAAACCTGAATAACAACACAGAAGCCCAGTTCAAATAGTACGTAGCGTACTCCGTCCAGAATTCTATGACACAAACATTCAATAAAAAGAGGCATATTTTGGTTATTTTAAATTAACATACAGTATACCTTTATAATATTAGTAAATCTTTCCACATAAAGAACAAAAACGATATTGTGTAAAGTATAGCAACAGAGAGACCCAGGTTTTTAGCTCTACCATGCGCATATGCTCTAGTACATATACATATGAAGTAGATTCAAATAATCTTAATATTCCAAAAATTTGTATCTAATTTTATATATTTATTTGCAGGATTTATACGAGGATGTAGACTACGGCGTGCTCTCTCCCCAGACAAAGATCAAAGTGAAAGTGAACCCTTCAGGTAGAAAGTGTTGCTCTAATTCTCTATGCAATGGCTATTTATTCACTGAATCAACTATTACACTGGTAATGTACCATACACCCAAGCTGCTATCAAAACCTAACTTTACCATTAGTGAAGATTATTAATTAGCATAGGACAATTTACTATGACATGTCAAATTACACCGTTAATGTTCCTAAAAGAATACATTAATAAATAAATATCAAAACATACTGTAGGAGCTGATCTAGAAAATAATTTGTATCGTTAGTTATTTTTATCAATGTCGTATATTAGACTAATACCTCGTATTTTCATTATATATTCATACTAATAATGTTAAGGTTATATAATGAACAACTTTATAATTTCATAGAAAGGTAATCAAAATTTCAATGTCACATTTAATGTACAAGACCGCATTATTGAAAACTTACTACTACTTACTACTTTAAAACTTACTACTAACTTGCATTAAATCCGTGTGATAATAAATTAATATTATCGATAATATTAAACGCGATAAAACCTGTTTGTACACTTTAGGCCAATAAATCTTATTTCAACAATGTTTTGAAAATCTCGAAACGTAAGTAATCTACTGTGTTAAACGTAACGTAGTACTACTTATTGGTTACCAGAATATTTTTATACTACGTTAAAATGTCAACAAAATGATAAATAATACAATTTTCATAATAGAATAATTTATTGTAGTATTGAAGTTAACATACGTACTTAATAATTTCACTACTATTGAATATATCCCACATATGTATATAAGCTTGGCTTGCTTGGTGGCAGAATTATATGAGACAGATGCAAACGTCGCTGTATGATACTCAAACTTATATTTTTTTTATGTGTAACAGGTGTTGTGATACTACGTGCTGATGCGCAGCCTTCTTACGCATACAACTCGATTCCAACGCGGACACCATACGCCCCTCTCAACGATGTATTCAGAATAAAGAAAAAGTAGTGACAACTCTACTATTTTGTCACCAAAACCTTCAATGATCATAAATAATGACTACTGCCGGGGCAGCGATTCAAAAGTCAATTTTAATAGGATCTACAAGTACAATGAATCAATTCGAAATCTCTTTAACTCAGATAATCATACTCTTTGATATTGGTGTAAAATATAGTTACCAAGCGATGTTTTTCAGTCTTGCCCTTAGGTTACATATTTATGTTGCATTCTCTCTAGTGTGATTTTGAAACGTGTAAGAAAATGTGTGGAGAATTGTTTTTTGCCATTACGTTGTACCTAGGTTAAGGATGTACATTTTAGATGCCTATAAATGTAAGTTTTGTATAAAACAATAAATAATGTAATACTTAGTATATTTTTATTTTTCACTATTATTTAATAAACATCCAAACATATATCGTCACTCTCACTATATATTTATTATATCACATTATATTACATTTCATGTACCTATAAGTAGAATGTGGCTTGATGAGAATATTTTTAAATTGTATAATAATGTTAAAAATAAATCGAACACTGCGTATCATAATCTCAAGAGATATATAAATTGTTTCCACGTTACACGTGTACATTCTTGAAAATAAACTCGCCTTGTGATCGGGCGTCACGTGCACTCCCAGTAAATTTAAATCCTGCGACTGTAGAACCTAAATTCTCCTCTTGAATTATGTTGATATTGGAATTCCTAAAAAAATATTCTATTTAAATAATAAATGTTAGTTATATACTGTTTTAAGTTTGACGCGGTCATTATACATCACAAATAAAACGTGGTAAGATCCCGTGATTTACTAATTATAACTTATAAATGTTAGTTGTCATTATGATTGATAGCAAAATAATATTGTCATATAACATTGCTAAGAAATGTAATTCAAAACAAAACATTTTGACTTCAATAAAAAGGCCATTCGTAGCAATATTTGTAATGTTTTTAAGTAATTGGAATGACAAATTAGCGGATGCCTCACCTGATGGTAAGTGTTGACCATCGCCTATATACATGAACAGAACCAATGATATCAGGTTATCTTGTGAGGCACGTCAAACCACTCATATCTCGTCATTCCGGATGACTTCAATGTAAAGCCTCAGAAACTAATAATTCACTACACAAAAATAAAACAGTTGGAGAACGTTTTTGATGATGTTTAGCAGTGAAACTTAGACAATTTCTATAGCTCATAAAAATTACTAGTAGTAGTTATTGCAATTAGTCACTATTAATCATTAGGTTAAAAGAAAAGAGCGCGTCATACTAAATAGGATAATAATAATTCTCACAAGTTTATCGTAATTTGTAACTAATAAAATGTTGTAATTAAAATATTACCTTTTCAACCGTATTTTATCGTCAGTCACAAAGTTTCGCAACGTTGTATCATCGGCCGTTAAGTTATCAAGTAATTGAAGATTACCCGATTTTTTTGATTGGTCTTTTATGAATATAAACTCATTATTATCCATCATTTCGTTTGAGACATCTGAAGAAATATGTTTATCACTCCAGTCTGTAACTTCTCCAAGTCCTGAAATAGATAAACTTTTCATTTCAAATTTTTCAGTATGTGATATCTCTTTTCCTGTATCGTTTGTTTCAGATAACTCTTCCCCAATATTATCTATCATATCGGTTGAAATTTCTAAATCATCATAGTTATTTGTTTCAGTGTTTTTAGATACAGTATCATCACGCAGATCATTCTGCATTTCTTCAAACTTCGGTTTATTATATACAATATCCTTAAGTTTATTGATTCCCGTTTGCCGATGTATTTGATTTACAAAAGGATTAATAGTAGATTCCACAAAATTCGTGAAGGGAGTTCCAGTTACTGTTAAAAACTGAATATTTTCTGGTTTTTCAATATAGGGTCTAATATTATCCATTTGAAGAATTTTTGCTATCATAACAGCACGTGGAGTATATATTCTCACATTTGAATATGGTTTAGATGTTATAACGTATTCATTAAATTTCTTTGTAATGATTGCCTGTTTCAATCCATCATCAGTTTCATAAGATAAATTATTTATTTCTGCTTTAACTTCACTAATTATTATAAACACAGTGATTATGTCCAGTAAAATCTGAAACAAGAAACATAGTATATTTAAAAGAATATAAATAACTAAAATCAACAAACTATAAATCACTGAATAGAGAGAAAAGGTCTTACCGGCACACGGATGATCATTTTAGTTTAATAATTAGGTTTTCACATTACTAGTTCGCTTCATAGTAAGAATTACTGATTAATGAACTAAATTATAATTATGCAAAGTTTAAATACACACTTCAACCTATTAATTGATTGCTTTAGTTCGAAGAAATATATAAAATTATTAGCAACATGCTTTCCTTTCTATTGTGATTATCATTTACCTACTGAGAAACAATTAATTTTACAATAGATATCTATGCATTTATAAATTGTTCTACTTAAGTAAGTATCTCATAATTATTAGGTATTAGTGCAAAAACTAATGAATTTCTCGTTTTTTATACGAGAATTTAATTAATTACTTCGTTATATTTAAATGTTTCAAATGTAATGTTCGTACGTAATATCTAACAAAATAATATAATAATATTCTTTTATTCATTACAAAGAAAGTATAGGAGAATCAATATGTATTCTCTTAGGTCGCGTTCCGTATCTTCATTGATAACCCCTACATTTCCAAACGCAAACGCTCAGTACGTTTACCCGGCATAGTAATAGACAAAATGTATAAATTAGATAATATATTTTAAATGTAGTAGTACACTTAGGTTAAGAGTCCTGTAACTTCAAATACTGGAAGTTGATGCACAGTTTGTCTGAAATCCGGAACAGTACAACAAAACGTGTAACCTTCGTTTGGATTATCAGGATGCCAGGATAACCAGGCGAAGTATCTGCTCCCTCTACAAATGTCTGCACAAAAGAACAACTTGCGAGCTTCGGCCAAAGTGTAATAAGGATTGTTTATACCCACAAAGGCAATGCCTCTCTTTGTACCAGGTTCATAGACAACTTTATAAAAATATTGAGGAACCGGTATTACTGGATTATTATTAACATCAGTATATAGAAATATGTCCACTCTGCGGCCAAATTGATTCAACAATTGGGTAACGCCAAACGTCCCCGTGTATACCACTGTATCATATTCAGCTACATGCATGTGGTTTCTTAAATCTACCTCCAACGTATTCCAATTTCCTCCATTAAATCCAGTCCACTGCGGAGCACAATTAACGTAGTGAAACGTAGCTCGCTCTCCAAAGGCGAAAACAAAATCAGTTTTTGCTGCTAAATGACCTCTTGAAAGAAACTCATTTTTAGTAACATACATATCAATCATGGGTCCAACTAATTGAGCTACTGCTGCTTTTTGTCCTCTTGGAGAAAATAAAGATTCTACTGGTACAAAACCATAATTATCATTAGCTATAAAAAACGGCCGCTCAACTTTGGTCTGATAGTTTGCATTATACGCTTTCTGAGTATATTTCGAATACACAGCATTGAGACTAGCTTCGTTGAAGCAAGATTCGTAAACAGGATAAAACTCGTTCTGAATTCTGTATCCTACCTCGACAATGGGATTGTCATCAAAACAAGTGCGGTTGGTACGAAAACTACTATAATTAGGAGGATAATGACATCTAAACATGGCGAATTTCGCTGGAGAGTTCAGCCATTCATCATTTTTGAAGTTATCTCCACCTTCACATGTAATGTCAGCTGATATTTTTGCATGTTTTGCATAAGGATGAGTTACATGACCGGAACCTTCACAACTCAAGGTAAGAGTTTCTCCGTATTGAAGATCAACGTTTCCATACTTATCAGTGGGTTCCAGAAGTCTTCCATTTCTCAAAATTATAGGTAAAGGTTCACTGAAATGCGTCCGAGAATGAATCCTGCATTTTTGTCCTTGTTGAATATTTAGTGCGCAAAGTACTACCATAAATATCTTTTGAAACATTGCCTTGATGTTAACAAATGAAGTATTCCTATTATTTCTATAACCAGAACATAATTTTATTGTTGTGTTTATTTCTAATTGCACTTTTAAAATTTATATTTATCTTTTATCGAAACGTAAATAAACACTTGACAAATTTGTCTACAGTATCAAAAAGGCGATGTCAAATATGTACCATAAATAATTGTAATATATTATTTCTAAGGTTATAAATTTCATATTTCATTATTTTATATGAATAAAAGATTAGTAATACCGCTTAAATTTTTTTTTAAAAAGTATGAATTTGGGTCGAGATTTTACATTAATGTTGTAATAATACATAATTTGGAAGCAGAGTTAAATAAAGGTACCTATTAATTCAACTTTCATTTAATGATTTCAGGTAAGAGGTTCAATATGAGAGTCATTGTGTTCATTTCCATTACTAGATGAATAGAGCAATAGGAAATAAGTTTTTTTAATGTACCCATCCACATCTGTATATTTAATGTGACAAACCTCGAATATTTACTGTACATGTCATATGCAAGATTGATCACGGATTACTAATGGACACGTACGAAATTCTACCCAGTTTGATAGTAATCTCTTACATAAAATCACGCACGCTGATAATACTATTAGAGGTACACTCAGCTTCGCATAAATCTACTAGTATACAATCTTTTTAGACGAAATAATATAGGAGTCTACAATTTTGTGTACTCCCTTTAATTTTCTAAAGAAAGCCACAGAATTTAAAATCAGTAATGTCAAATTATAATTGAGATATAACAAATCCCCAAGTAATATAATTGTTTTTGTTATCAAGTATTTGACCATATGAAAATTATGAAATAATTACAGAATTTAGGTAAGTATGGCCATTCAGAGAGACAACGCTGCACATTGAGGCAGCGTACCCAGTATCTTGAGTACGCTGCCTCAATGTGCCGTGTTGGATTACAATGATTGTTTTTATTTGTTATTAATTATTAATATGCCTAAAATACATTTAAATCTACTTTCATGACTATATATTTATTTAATCCAATTTCGTTCCTTACTGGTATATGTGTGTCAATGTTTTTAATACTGGTATGTTTGGCATTTTTTGCAAGTTTTAATATAATGGCCTTCGCTAACAGCGCGAAGAGAAACTTTTATTGAAAAAATAAATAACGAATTTGCCAGGGGGAAACTGCGTAGAGATAGTTTGATAGAGGAAGATATATTTAAAATGAGTGTGACACGCTATAAATTTACGATGTAGATATTCTCCAGTATTAGTTCCAGCTTTATTCAGAGACCTTACGTCTCATGTCACGTAAGCGGGATAGCAATACTTTCAATCAAAATTTTACAGCAAATATTTACGTTGCGTTCTATTCATTCATTCGTTCTATTCAGCTTACTCTATTATTACAATTCATTATAATTTCAATGTCTTGCACATTTCTTAAATATTATATATTGTCTTGGTTCATACGAATGAGGTAAAAAATAGGCCCTTTTTTTAAAGAATATCGGTGTAGCAGTTACGTTTAATTTTAAGATAAATTTATGCATTAATTTCTAAAAGAAAAACCTTTTCCTACGTACAAAATTTAATCGAGTTTTATTAATTACTGCAGAAAAAAATTCTTAGTAACATGTTTTGTATGGAGCGGGATAAGGGACATGCCGCTTTACCTTGGTATGTTTTGAGTTTGCCTAGTGAGGAAATCTAACAAAACATAAATTCAATGGTTAGTTACGGACCATGAGAAACTAACTGCAGACTACGTACATTCATATTCAAACAAAGTTAAATCAATTTGCGGTAAGTAAGTACATAATATCATGGATAAGATAATATTACACAGTAAAATTACGGAAGTCAGTTTAGACTTATTATTTCATTCTGACATATTTATTGACTTTTTTAGATATAGGTTACCTATATGTTTTTGAAAACATAGTTTTAGTTTCGAACGTTTGCAGAACATTCAGTATATCAATCGATACCAATGACTCCATCTATGCTATGTTCGTTCCAAGCAAGAATCCGCAGTAGGAGATGGTAAACTGTGGTAATACAAAAATCTTTATTTTATAATAGTACCTATATACCGCTTCGGCATCCCCCGATTTTGTCAATAAACATCATCATAATTTTATTTTTTATATATATTAATATATTACTCTGGAATAAGGTACCTTTCAAACAATAAAAGAATTTCACTGATATTATTCAGTGGGCCCGAAATTTGCTTTTTTCATAACAAAATCCGTCCTCTTTTTTATAATTTTACTGTAGAATTAAATAGGTAGTAAATACCAATTATACCTATATTACTAATACCACCTACTACTAACTGAATCAATTGAGTAGTTTATCATAAATTACTCACACACAACTATACATTTCAACTAGTACCTATATTGATGTAAACCAACTTCTTAGACAAAATAGGAGGAAATAAAGATGTATAAGAAATTATCATATTATCATAGTAAATTTTAGAGATATTAGCTCCTATAAATTCGAATTTTACCTGTAATAGAGAAGCACCTTTTTTACAAAGTCATTGTAACCTAAAAACAAGTTTGTCGGGTATCAAGGCCACGATATTTTTCCTTAACTATGGTATAACTAAATATTTCGCATATACAGAATAAAAGTAATGGCAATGGCAATATGATAAATATGACATGCTAAAAAATTCTATCAGTATCCCAAATTTAAATGCAAATATCCTAATTAACATTTTATAAACGTATATATAATAATTATACAGGATAATTTACACGACGTCATCAAGTACAAATATAAGAATTCGTATTATGGTGTGTGGTGTGGCTAATACCACACACAACAGTATTAGACAACTGATAGAATTACTTAAATATTTTATAAGTACATAGATATAAAAACCTCCTAGACCGATACGAACATTATGGGTACAATTGTTTGTGCCGTGACAGAAATCGAAGCTGCGATCATCGGAAGTTAGACGATGTACTAAATTGCTAGACCACCGAAGTCATCAAATGAAAGATATAAATAACGTTGGTTGCTAATTTGTTAGATCAACGCAATCAAATCATCAAAACTCGCCGTTTCGGATGCAACATTTCCTCATTCCCTCGGAATCAGCCTGGAGCGACACACGCTCATAATCAATTAACATGTATGAAATATAAAACAAGCTCATTGTTAAATGTTTATTCAAACATAAACACATCTATGTGCTCTATGTGTCTCTATGTGTGATCATTTGCTTATGTGACGGCCTTAACATGGCACGGAATTTGGTAAGTTCAACTATTCAATAATATCTATCTAGCTAATAAGAAAATTTCTTCTAAGTCACTGTTGTTTATTTATTAACTATAATTCAGTTATACGTACTAACTAAAATTTAATATTAAAGTGTACTTTTTTTTAAGTTTTAAAATACTAACCACTGAGCAAATAAGTCGATTTAAAAAAATATATATTAGGTTATTTTTTACTCTTCTAATTGAAGGATTGTAGCTAGCAGAAATGTTGTGTTGGAATATTAGTTAATATAAACAAAATATATTGTAGTTTTATTTTCTTGATCTGGCAAGAAAATCAAATACAATACTTTTAAATAAAATTTTAATATACCATTTAGAAAGTGTAATATATTATAGTACTAATAATAATTCCTGCTTTATATTGTAATATGTGTAATACCATAACAGAATAAAAGTAGTACTAGCAAGGACTAAGTTTTTAATTTTAAGTGATAACAAAAATAAATTTTGTCGTATTCTACACGATATACGAATATACAATACACTAAAATATATGTAATATGAATAATTTATATACATTTTAGTGTATTAAATAGGTATCTAAAAATAGGTCTCAAAATAGGCCCATTGCTTCTATAACCATGATAGTTCATTTTAGACCTCAATTTAATTAATAATTACAAAAATTACACTTACTGAAATTATAAAATAGGCATGGAAATTTTCTCAAGTTCAATCTAAAATAATTCATATTTAAAGTCTTTTTATTTGGGTATAATATTTACCAAATATATACTTTATATGTAACATACAGTAAAGAAAAGACACAAACAATATATTGAATACATATTATATATATATACATATATAGTTACAATAAGGCTTAATGTATTTGTGTTAATATAGCTCTTCACATAAACCATTTATATTTATAGATTTTTATTTATTTTTACTATTTATATTTCAGATCATTTTGGTAATCTCAATTATGGTTTTCGCAAGCGGAGTCACTGGGTATGTACTACCTGCTATCGCTGTTGCAAATACAGAAATCTCAACACAAGACGTATCAACATCAACTCCCCTGAATGACATCTCAACAGAAAAAGAATCAAAAATATCGGACGATTATAGAAAATATAGTTATATAATTACGACATATTTATAATTAAAATTATATTATAGTTATCTACTCCAAAATTTAAAAATAAACGTAAATTATGTGACGAAATAGGTATTAAGTACCATTAATGACAAACAGTGATATTTGAAATACTTGCAATTACCCGCGGCTTCGTCTGTATAAACTTTTATCCTCTATTTAACTCGTTTTAAATTATTTTTAATTTGATTAAAGTTAATCTATGTCCATCGTCGTTATACAACCAAACTTTATGTCAAATTTCAATAAGATTCGTTCAGCTGCAAAATCCTGAAAAAGTACCTAACAAACAGACAGTCATATTCACATTTATAATATTAGTATATATTAATATTAGGACATATACTACAGTATTTCATCATAATTATATTATTGACAAAAATAAACTTAATTTGCATTTATTATAAAGTGTTATTGTGATATATTAAATATAAAATCATGTGTAAGTGTTTATAATTTAATGCAGGCAACTGTACAAACACATATTATGCAGTGATATACTATCATATCATCCCGACGTCCTGTTTCACCAATATAATATAATAGTCTTCTCAAATAGTGACTTAAAATGGTGTTTTTGTAAATACAGTTCATTTCGTAGTAGTCATAATTCCCTCTACATACTATCAAACATAAACTCACAAAACTCACACCTTTCTTTTTAATGTAAATATAGACTTTGACCCATATTTATTGGGGAAAATACAATTTTTAATAGTTATATCTCTAAGTAACATTTTCTATCGTGTGCGTATATATGTGTGTAGTATGTATGACTCGTGTAAATAAAGTTATTTCCATGGCGGACAGATCTTATATACATAAGTAAGCAAATAGTCAATTGCTGAGGCCACGAGTACCTAAGTATAGGGTCATAACACGTGTGTTAGGACCCTATACTTAGGTACAGGTATGTAAAGATATATTATAGAGTCATTAATATTTTATTATAGATGTTCTATGGCCATAATATTAAGAGTTCCTGGTCACATAGGTCGCTTCCGCTGTCTGTTAACTTAGATCTTTTAAACTACACAAAGGATTTTAATGCAGTTTTTAGGAAACAACAAACAGACCGACAGACATATATTTGAATTTATAACATTCAATATGGATTTACCTCATCATATGTATAGGTATTATTTAACTTACACTGATACAAAGTATTTTATTAATAGCATAATTGAACATTGATTACAAATAACTATTTATATTTCGAAATATGTACATTGAATAGATTAAACCTGTTTTATTATCGGTTCTAATTAAGTTGTATTAAGAATAATGTTATACCAAGTATTTTAATCGAAAGGTATAATTTGTGGTAAGTATTGTGATATCACTGGCTTCATGTGAACTCTATATCTGTATGTTTAATTCATGTTTGACCACAAGTATGAAACGGTTTTAATTTCAGTATTGGTTATTGTGGTATTTGACTGCACCAAGTAAAAAAGAGTCATTACACTATCAAATATGTATAATTGTTGGATCAATGTATAGAACTTATTAGAACTGATCTATTTAGCCGATAAAAATGTGTGTACAACTATGTGTATAATTTTATATTCATGACTGATTCTACGACAAAGGAAATACCCATATAAAATCATAAAATAATTTGAAAGATAGCGATAGGCTAGGTCGCTGCCAATTGAATTCCAATGTACCCAGCGAAGTTGGTACCGCAACATGAACAATTTACCAATGCCTCGTGACTGTTCCAACGAGGATAACAGTCATGACGGTATATTTGTTTTATTTTTATCTAATATAATAATATTAATAACTCAGGACAAATCACACAGCGCCATCTAGTTAGGGACTAGATGTTACCTACTATTGTACATCTGGTAGGCCAACATATCATTTTTAACTACATATGTAGTATATACATGCAAAACAATCCTACTAACGAATACAAAGATTTGCATTATGCGAGGAAGCGAGGCCGCGACCATCGGAAGTGAGACGGTGGTATGCTAAACAAACAAACTAAAGCACTAATAATTGATAATGTAATATCCCCTGCATCAATCGAGTCATACATATTACTAGAAGTATATCAAATGACTCACACCACAATGTATAACGATATTTTTTATGGAACATAAACAAGCTGACGGTCTCGCTGACCACAAACAACACAAAGGAGCTTGTCCAACGATACTTTTTTTAAAATTACTATCATCATGTACAATGCCTGTTATGATCAATTTACGTTACGCTAAACTGTGAAAAATGTATTCTTGTAGAACTGGAATGGCAAACTAGTTATTGTAGTTACCACCGGGTGGTAATTAGCAAACGTTGTCATTTACACATAAAGAGCGCTGTGCACGTTTATATCACGTTTTCTTCATAAACCCCCAAAGCGTGTACCATGAGTGGTCATTCTGGGAGGACTAATTGTAAGATCTTATACTCTATAATTTTACTGTTATATTGCATCCTCCAACTGCAGCTTACAAAGAAGCCGCAATAAATAATAATATAGGCTGAAATAATAATATTACACCTGGACAATTCACACGACGCTATCTAGTCCTAAAGTTAGCAGAGCTTGTGTTAAGGATACTAGACAACTGATATAAAGACTTAGATTTTTTTTGTAAATACATATACAATTTTCATAGAAAGCATCCAGAGCGACATAAATAATCCTACTCATGAATACAAATGTTCGTTGCGAGGAATCGAACCCGCATCACTATCGGAAGTAAGGCGGTGCGCTAAACCGCTAAATCACCGAAGTCGTCAACACATTTATTACTATTATATATTAGTTTGTATAATTACTAAAATACAAATAGAATTATTTGTACGGTTACTTATATATGTATTTCTATATTAGAATAATGGTGAATATTTCTGCTAAATTTAAAAATGCATAGAAGTACATTGTAATGAGTCGCTCAGCGAGAGCAATATAACGTTAAATTGTAGACAATTCGACGTTTCAATGACGCAATGACTAATGAGTACATAATTTAAATTGCGGGCCCGATTGTATTCTAGACTGTGTCAACGTACAGTTGTTAACTATCTGGTGTGAACTTTGGCCCTGCCACTCATGTCAACGGTCTCTACTGAACGGAACAATACCTATTAAACGGAGGAAATATTGTACAAATTGATAAAGATGTAAGAATTACTCACGTAATAATTAGGTACGGTACGTTTTATGTGCCTATGTACTTACGTAAGCAGTACCACATAAATTATGTCATGTGACGCTCGTGATATCTCCCTTATCCATTCAATCCATTTCAATTCCTGAGGACTAAGATGTCAATCCAGCGTAACTTGTAATTTCACTACTATATCTCGTTTGCAAAGCAATCTGCTTCACTTAAGTTAACAGTGATCTGTGGACTGTCTTCCGGCATAGTACAAATCACCTATAATCTTAGGTAATAAATAGACATCTTACGCAATATAATTATATAATTAAAATGACCTATTATCTTTATCTTCCCCTTTATTGTTTGCTACAATCACTAATACAGTTTCGACATTAATTAAACACAAGTATCGTCCGCTCTTCTTCTAGTTGAGGGCATTGGTTCTTTGAACCTTTGCATAGATCTCCAACAAGATTTCGCCGTAGCACTATATGTGTCCATATACTCGGTTCTGCCGGGAAATTCTGTGAACCACGTTTGTATGGATTTGGGGGCGACCCCTGTATGAACTCTACCTGGAGGATGGATCGTTGGTCTTACAGTAGGAGGGTATTCTGTAAAATGCGTCGGGTCTTTGTAACAGTGGAGCATGCCGAGACGATTGGTTTCTATGGGTATTGGTGCGGTAGATTGTGCCGCTGCTATGATTGATCTGTAGTCTGATACAGGGAAAGCTATAGACAAAATAGAAGGGAATATATGTATATAGATACGATATAAGAATAAAGATAAATATAGCCTTTATTCAAACACAAAAGTTATTAAAATTATTTCATGAAATTTGCTACAAACTATACCCAAGACCACATCTTCAAATAAAACCTATCCTTCAAATAAACCTATGCAGGCAAATGTGAAGCTCGATTTCACATAAAAAGAATTATTACAAGGAGTCGATGGATGTTGGTTGCTCAGGATCCTACTTTTTAGTGGACGATAGACAAGTTTTATCTAATGATAATTGGTTCTATTTCTATGTAATTTAAATGGCAAATAAGCTGACGGCCCATCTGCTGGTAAGTGATAACCTTCGCCTATATATATAAGCAGCACCAATTGACGTCGCGTTATCATGTAACTCCCAAAGTAGAGGACTAAAATGTTATGCTTCCATATTCTGTAATTTCACTGCCTTATCTCCACCCTTCAATCAAAACATGCTGCTAGCGGATGATATGGGTAAAACTTTTATAAATTCTACCTCTGTGAATGATGATTTCTTATACCTAGTAGATAACAGAACAATAGAATTGAACGGTAATCCGAATGAAACAAATCATAAAGTAAACTATACTAACATCTCTTCTTATATGTAGCCTGGTACATTGTCATCATTTTGCTGTCTAAATCGTCGCATGGATGATCCAATATATCATTAGTTACGTCCACCATCTAAAAATAGTATAAACATCTATAAATACTATTATATATCTAATGCGAAGATATCGTAAATGCGAAAATTGTGAAGGTGTTTGTTACTCTTTCACGCAAAAACCACTGAACGGATTTTGATGGAACTTTACAGTAATATCACAATAACGCAGGCTATAAATCTCAAACGGTTGAAACCGCGAGCATAGCTAGTAACGAAATATATTATATACCTTTTATTAAGTTGAAGGTTGAGGTAGAAGTTTTATATCTGCTCTAAACGTGCGTATATTCATAAATTTAGGCTAGACAGGATGATGTTATCTAATCAATTATGGTATAAATGAGGTTGTATCATAAATTGATAATTCTAAAAATGTGTCAATTGATAAACCTATTGCCATAATAGCATTCTACCAGGGGGGCCTAATGACGTTGTTTTTGTACGAACCACGAATCAGACCATTGTGTACATTAGGGATATTAAGGAGCTCCGAAACCGTAACCGAAACTATCGGATATGCGATATAAAAAAAAATATCCGTAACCGTAACCGAATCCGAAATAAAAGTTTCGGACAATATCGGATAGGGGCGGAGACTAATTGAGACGCGTTATGTAACCGTTTTATTAGCTATTTGTATTTTACTTTTGAAATTCCTTAAAACATTAATATCCGTAATCGAAATTATCCGAAACTAACGGATAATCCGAAATAATTTCATATCCCCATCCGTATCCGGTATAATAATCTTTACTATATCCGAAACCTATCCGTATCCGAAATTTCATAACCATAACATCCCTGGTGTACATGTTGTCGATGAAATATTCTAATCTAAATTAGGTGGGTTATGCCAGAAAATCCTATTATAATTCATATAGACAACTATTGAGTAAAATCAAAACTTCTTATGAGCAATGCAAAAACATTTTTGTACCTATTTATAGCAAAAAAATTTGATTAAACATAGCACGAAAATATAACATTGGTACTAACATAGTCTAGTGAGGCTATCTATTAGTAGAATTAGAATTTATTCATTATACTGTTTATCTATTGTTATTTAAGCAGGTTTATATCTAAAATATAAAGTTGACGACCTCGGTGGTCTAGCGGTCTAACACACCGCTTTACGTCCGATGGTCGCGGGTTCGATTCCTCGCACGGCAAAAACATTTGTATTCATGAGTATGATTGTTTGTGTCGGTCTGGGTGTTTTCTATGTATATTAAGTATGTATTTACGAAAAAAAAAATATCTATGTATTTGTATCAGTTATCACTAGATAACTGATACAAATACATAGATATTTTTTTGGGTACTAACCCATAACACAAGCTTTAGCTAGCTTAACTTGGGTCTAGATGGTGCTGTGTGAATTGTCCTGAGATTATTATTATTATTATAAAATATAAAGTACCTGTCTCCTCAACAGTTCATAATCTTGACATAACTTATGCTCCTTCTCCAACAGTTGCTTGTATTGTTCTATTCGTGGTGAATAAGAATGTGCGTCGCAATGACAGTACGGTGCCACAGGAGCTGGCCTCACTGTGGGCGCCGCGGTTGGACTCGGAGGCTCGCATGGTCTGAATTTTTTGTACAGCATTACAATTTTTTCTGTTACAAATTCAATTCAATAGTCTGTGCCAGTGGCCTCGTCGTTTATTACGCCATTTATTATTCTGAATCGGCGGTCAACAAAAGTGAACTAAAAATGATTAAAATATAATCATCATCTCAGCCCGGAAGACGTCCACTGCTGGATCTCCACGACGTTCGGTCCTGCGCTACTCGCATCCATCGCCTTCCAGCGATCTTGACCAGATCGTCGGTCCACCATGCTGGAGGCCTCATAGAAATTTAGGTAGTTATGACAAATGTATTAGGACCAGGACATCAAGAATTGTTTGAATTATATTTGGATAGACAATTATATATATTAAAATATGACTAAGAGGCATAGTTTATTTTCAGTTAGTATCTATCATCAATTTCAAACAAATAGAAATCTCTTTATATTGATCTCATAATCGCATAACTCGCATACCATGCCATGGCCTATATATATACTTACAACTACATTTAATATGTGATATACATATTTGAAAATGGGGACGATTACTTGGAACTAGTACTAATCATTTTAGATAAGAATGGCAAATAAATAGACGTCATTAATTAAATCAAGAGAAGTGCTAACCATTACTCTACGTCATACTTCGACTTACAGTCAAACATTAAGTATGTATGTATTTTCTAAGCGCTAATCTATTTAAGTCAATATTTAAAGTATTATAATAAGTTGACTTTCTTACCTGCTTCGATATACTAAAAGATATATTCATTTATCTATTTTATAGAACTAAAGAAACCATTTGAACCTACTTAAATTCTCTAGCCGTATTTTGTCCTAGGTAAATATTGCTCCCATTTAATTACTAGGAGCTAGAGAAATCAAAGTTACATACTTTCCTACGATAGGCTTCGGAAATGGCCACTGATAGTCAGTATGATAGGCAGTTTCAAAATCCATTTCTTCAGTATCTGAAAGTTGTTACGATAGTGGTATCATAGAAAGAAAAATTATCAGATTAAGTCAAAGTGAAACGGAACTGGTTATTTGAGTTTACAGTTGCAGAGATACGTGTTAAATCAAAGAAAGTGAATAAAGGACAGCAAGTAAGTAGCATAACATTATAAAGTATTCCAGAAGATTCAAGGAAATATAAATTTAAAATATTCTGGTTACAATAGCCAATTACTACAAGAGTTCCACTAAATTCAGTTATACCTTATAATCAATTAATAAGTACATTAATATTTTTTAGATTTATTAAAAACACTCTAGCCAAATGACACCCTACATAATTTAGAATTGCTTTTGAAGCCAAAAATTTGAGTTGTACTAAAATTTCTTCAATCAGGGAAGATAAAAACATTTTTGACGCTTTTGTGGTTTTTTCATGACTGAATGTCAGTTAACGATCAAGGTAAAATCTATTAGCAATTGATGAGTATACGAAACTTTTTTAAAATATAGAAATAAAATATCTCATATTCGATTTATTAATTGATTTCGATGTTTCTTTATCAATTCAATACTATTGTAGTATGTAGTTATTAATAAACTCTAAACTTATATGTTTCATTCTTATTCTGTAATAATAAAATTATTACTATTATTAGACAAAGGCAACCCTAGAAATGCTAAAGTTTAAATTTAAACCAAAGTATTCAATAGAATTTTAAAGTCTTAGATTTTAAATTTCATTTTTATTATACATATATTAAAAATATATTAAAAATTAATTTATAGTTTTAACACTGGGAAGAAATTATAATTATTTTTTTAGGTTTTGCTAAAAAGGACTTGTATCCAGAGCCGTAAAATATTAAATAAATAAATAAAAAAAAAAGTTACAATTTCTACCAAAGCATTCTATACATTATAAAAATACAGACCCAACAGAAGAGAAATAAAAATAAGTACAGACAATGACGTAAACTTGGTATTAGCTATCTCATTTTAACACACAATGAACAGTAGCCTTCATCATTTGCCCTTGTCCGATAGTTTCGCACCTTCCTATGGTACTTACCAGGTCTCAAAATCATACCATTAATATTGGAAATTTTTAAATTAAGTTACATATAGTCTGAAATTAATGATATAATTTATTTTTAAGCAACTAAAAATAATAATGATTTTTAAATAATTACATTGTATAATTTGTCACAAATTCTTAATTTAGTTTCTGTTCTATTAGGTTCTAGTATACATTTTATTTTTGACATTAAAATTTTTTGGGTAAATTATTTTTTGTATGGCAATAAATAGTAGATATTGTATTTTCGGATCTGTTAACATTGATTTGTTTTGCTGTCATCAGTCATCAAATCAGCTGTGTATCACACACAGGGAACATGTAATAATAAATGTGCGTATTAAATTATCGGTGTGAAAATGTCCACTGAGACAATTGATAAAAAGGCAACTCAATGTTTATGATAAATTCACGGTTAACGAGACATGGCGCGCCGGAGGAGCAGCGGTATCACGAGCCTGGGGTTTAACCAGGATCAAGGTTTGGGCTTACTTCCTAGTTCGTCAACCTTACTTCTTTGTTCTTAGGATGTGCATTATTCATGATGTGGATGAGGTGAACGTGTGGTTGTAATGTCAAGTGGTGAGATGAAGACGGCGTGGTCAACGCGTGGTCACTACTGCGTTATGAACGACGCGTAGTTCGCCACGCTGTTACCATTCGTCACTGCTACACGTGTTGTTTATATTTTTAGCGCGCCCACGCGCAGTTTCTTGACTTCGTGCTATTGTTCGAGTCTAACTTTTATTTGCCCTCATTATTTTGAAACTTAACAGATTACACTAATTGTGTTTTGTTTTTATTTATAGAGCAAATCTAGTGAACAATTTGCATGGCTGCATGTCTCACCATGTAAAAGGAAAAATATGCATTGATACTTAAGCAACTAACATCTACATCTATCTATTCCAGATTTTTTTACATTTTGAGCAATACCTACTGTGATAAAAAGTCTCCAACATTGTTTACTAAACTTACCACATTTATAAATCACAATTTATTACTGTATTATATTATAACTATGTATTCATCATTCTAAACAACATAATATTATTCTTGTTTAATTTATTACATTAATTTTTACTATAAAAACATTATTATCTATTATACTATTAGAAAATTACAATGTTTCTATACTTAGAGACACATTTTATGTGTAACTTTATATTTCCAATATCTTGGTCATATAAAATTCCAAACATTATTGTAGGAAATCATTATTTTTTGATTTGATCTAAATAATCAATGTCTGTGAAAATTTATATCTATGAAAACCTATGCCTTCTCACCTTTTATGCATATCTTACATGTGAATTAATATATATGGAGCATATGCTACATCTATATTTTCTTTGGTGTTATTTTCTCCTTACTATCCATTTCTATTTAATATCTTTTTAAAACTTGGTGTCCAATCCTCAATATGGTATGCCCAAGCCAAGATGATCATGTATTTCATAACTTTTCCTTTGCTGCTACAACTTCAAACTTCCATACAACTCATAATAATAATATTAAAACTGCTATCCTTATTTTGGGAAGGAACTGACTTTTGATATATAGCATACGCTAGTTTGGGGGTCAGGACTGTATCAAACTGTACACTCATTAGTGTAAGGTTTAAATAAATAAATAAAATATGAGATTATAGAGGGGATGGGATTGTTAGTAATGGGAACTAGCGGTCCCATAACCAGTACCTAGGTTATTGGTCTGCTTCCACTTGGTTTAGATCATTATGGCTAATTAATGGAGAATATGTCATGACGGGAACTGACCTGACTTTATGTCAACATATACCATTAGCGCAGGTGCATATACAATAGCTTTGTCATCTCTAAAATTTATAAGAAATAGTCTTACATACATACAATTATCAAGCATAAAGTTAATATATAATCATTCTACAGGCTGCTTCACTTGCTGCCTTACAACTGGGCTGCGCGTGTACAATGTTGAGCCACTCGTTGAGAAGACCCATTACAGTAAGTCTACATATAAGTATTTAAGTAGCACCTCACACACTATACAACTATTCTGCCATAGCTTTATATAACATTGGTTTACTTGTCAAAATGTAACATATTTTTAAAGTTTTGTATGGTGTAATGCATTTTGAATCTAAACTGCTGCTAATAACCAGTATTGCTATTTTACAGGCAGCAGTAATCTCATAAAGTGTTGAGTGAGACCAATGCTTATGAGACTGTTTAATGACTATTATTATTATAATAACTTATATAAATGTCTGTTTAATATTTTCAATTCAACAACTTTGATCTTTATGATTAATAATTTAAACAAATGTTTGTCTTCTTATTTTTTTATTTTAGTCAACATAATGCTTTTACTAGTTCCATGTGATAAAATTATAGGGTTATTGCTAAAATAGTATTATTATTTTGCTGGAAACATTTCACTGAAATAATTTAAATATTTTAACATCTGATGAAATTGTTTATTTGTATGTATAAATAAATTTGCCAAATAATAATGTGTAGATGATGTCTGTGAGTGTGACACACAGTACCATAATTATGTATACGTACATGTGTCACAGTTGTTGTTTTTGTAATTGCGTATGTTATAAATGCGTAATTAAATTGTTAATATTACAACCCTAGTCAAGTCATTGCCAATTTTTTTATTAATATATTTTTAATATCTAACATTTTAATTTTAACATAAATATATGTATAGACAAACATTATTTTAAAACTAAATTAGTTATCATACATGGCTCGTGATAACCGATATAAATTTAAATTACTGTATATCAAAAAGTAAATGTTCGTAATAGTGAAAGAATTTTTCAAATGTACTGCATCAGTCTATGAAATCGTAATCGAATAGAAATCTTTGAAAATCACATTCTACGTACAAAATATTTTTATTTTATACGTATAACTGAAATTGCAAAAAAGCTGACGGCCCGCCTGATGTCATTAACAGCATCATTTGACATCCGTGATATACCACATATATTCCCATTCCATATGACTTAGATGCATACCCTGTAATTTATATAGACTTTGTAATATTATAATGGCGACATTTGATACTTTAACTCTGTCCGTTACTTCATAGAGAAATTTCTTTTTATACTTGTCAAGAATAACAATAACATAAGTAGGTAATCTGCTAAATTTAGACACTTGTTTAATCCTTTGTAGTGTAAGACTAGAGCCATTCAGTAGCACAAGGTTAAAATCTGACCTCATCCAAAATACTCTCTCTGTATAATACCCCAAAATGGTATATACATATAGCGCTTTTCTTTTACGCTATTCTACTTATGCCTTGTGAGTATTGAGTTTACTAAAGCATATTTAAATATTTGAAGCTCATCTTATGAGTTAATCATTGTTACTATTATTATATATACCTATTCTTTATGGCACAGATCATACAGTAATAAAATAAATTAGAGATAAGGTGAACAAAATGGACTTATTTCTGGAATAGATTATTGACCGGGATAAACAGTAATCTATGTACTTTTTACTCCCGAAATGTTGAAAATTTTCATAACACTATTTAAGGCGTGAAAACGACCCAAACTGACATGCTTTCGTTTTTGGAAATAGTGGTGCCCGCAATATTGTTATGTAATTACGCGTATACATTTTTAAATCTATTGATGATCATCAAACGGTAACAATAAATAAAGCTTTGTACAAAACTATTTATTAATAAATTATTTAATAAGATGGGCATATGTAAATATTCACGAAATAGTTCCCCCCTTTCATTTTTCTCAGCTTTCTTTAGCCATATTTAATAACATCTATTAAATTTTCTTTGTTATTCATACGCGAAACACACAAACAGACAGTTTTTATATACTATTTTGTCTCGTCATGATTTTATTATAATATTTAAATATACGTAATATGACAAACAGGACAGTATTTATCTATATAACAATATCTACATGTTAATTTAAATTTGTCATTTTTAACATAACCACACATTATAACAATTTAAGATCACGAGAAAACACTTAGGTATATACCTATTATCTCACTCTTATCTATTTTCCGTAATGGCCTATGGATGTTTTATGTTATCGCTAGCCGCAAGAATATTATTTAACATCTGCATTAACTATTCCTAATGTCCAGCCAAAACTTTGGTTTTACGTTTTACAAAAGAAACCGAATAAAAACGAAACTATCTATTGATGTATTTTTAAACGAGGTTGCCTGGTTATATATTTGTGTCAGTTTCACGTAGTTAAAAAAAATACATTACTATATCTTAGAAATAGTAGGTATAATAAAGTAAAAATATAGTGCTGTAAAATAATTATATTGAGAATCAGTTTTGATTACAGATCGATTATAAATTACAGAATTTAAGTAATTACCTAATTACTTCTTATGAACGTAGTAGTAATTTCACGAAGATTTACGACCGAAATCATATAATTTCATGTCATTCACCACGTTTGTATATTGTTTTTATACAGAAAACCATTGTGTACAGTAAAGCAATATTAAAATTGTTTCTTATTTTCTTATCGATGTTTTTATATGAATTACCACATACCTAAATGCGTATTTTTTGTTTTATCGCAATAAATAAATTATCGACTCATTGTAGAGACAGTATATGCGTATGTTTTTTTCGGTCGACGTACAGTTACAATTTTTTATGTTTTCTTTTATTATCTTAGTAGGAGACCAAGATAATAAAGAAATCTCTTTTAATCAGTCTACATTTTAATTGTAATCTTCCGGAAATAATTGAATTTCGCAATATGATGTTTTGATAGGAACTGCGTAGTGACGGTCGACATACAATGTTCATCAAGGTTGCAATTAATTACGCACTCTTTTATTCTCTTTCTTTCTTTTAATTTCTGTCTGATTTTAATATCTGATATCTAATATTTATTTTAGATATCAGATATTAAAAAAACATCATAATCTGGAATGAAACAAAAACTGTTTTTTATTGAAACAATTATTTCAAATCAATAACTCACTTTTAATCAATATTACACAGAGATTCTAACCTAACACCTAAGACATCAGAAATGATAACGCTCAAAGAAATTTATTATCATGCCTGCCACTTTTTCTAAATCGACCGTCACCTTGTTTACTATCACTATCACCTTGTATACTATTCATAAAATCAATACAGCAACTTTGTAGAACGACTGCTATGAATTGTAGCAAATAAAGCTTCTAGTTTAGTGTAATATGTATATTGAAATACTATACTACAATTATAAAAGAGAAGGTGTGTCTGATTGTTTGTTACGTTTTCATAACTAAAGTAGTCGTGAGCAATACGTAATGTAACCTACTATATAAAATAAAACAAAAAGAGTACAAGATCTATATGTGTATATTGTTTTTCTTTTCAAATATGGATGTAGGTATATGAACATAGAAATCTTGTTAATATTATAAACAATAAATTTTGTGAGTATGGATGGATGTTTGTTACTCTTTCATGCAAAAACTACTGAACGGATTTTTAAAAAACTTTACAGTAAAATAGCTTATACATCAGAATAACATGTAGGCTATAAATTTCACCAATAAATAACAAATAAATTCTCGTTCTATAACAACGGCATTGTTTTAATTCTAGGCAAGGAGGAGCTGGGCGAGGTGTCGCTATGCGAGATGGTGTTCCGCACCAACTGGCTCCTGGTGGTGAAGGCGCGTCGGCCCTGCAGTCTCATGCTGCTTGATGACCAACAGCGCGCTTATAGAGCCGAGGTGCAGTTCAAGTCGCCCATAAGAGCACTGCGCGCTAGGAGAGATAAGTATGTTGAGTTATTTATTTATTAGGTCACCAACAAAGTTCACACCAACACAATTACGTTATATATAACACATTACAATATACTTAATATACTTAGCGGAACCTTAATTATAGGCAACTACGACATTTATAAAAAAAAAGGACTTACTGTAGTCATTTACAATAACTATCACCAAATATGTCCACTGATAAATCATTCTTATAATAAGAGCTATAAATTCTTATTAGTCCTTATTTATATTAAACGTTGAGAAATGAAGTTAGCATTTTTTTAATACGTGATAATGGTATGCTGCACCCACCTGCGTATACGCTGGCAAGGCTTCAGTGTGAGATTATAAGATGAGTATGAAGTCAGATCAGACCAAATTAGCCCATCATGACGAATTCACTAGGAATCAACCACCATTACTAACTATAAAGGTTTAGTGGGATCAGTTACAATTTTCATCGGAATTATTGTGACATGATACCGTGCAAACAATGGGTCCTCCAACATCTTAGCTTTCCCTAAATTCGCCGGACGGCGGATTTATCGAATATCAGGGGTGAATAGAATAGAATAGAATAGAAAATCATTTATTCAAATAAACTTACATTGAAGCACTTTTAAATAGTCATTACATTTTTTAATCTACCGCTCGTTCGGAAAGCTGTCTCATCACAAGAAGAACGAGCAAGAAACTTGCGTGTTGCTCTTTTAAATAATTTTATTATTACTTTACATTTTTAAGTTTAAGTGTATGAATACAAACCACCAATTAGCACTAATTCTATTAAATACTCAAATAGAAAAAATATTGAATATATAACCAACTGGTTAAACAATTAATAAGAGGAAATCAGTCATAGTGATTAGAGCAGACCAGTCCCTACAAGCAGCACCCGTTCACGAGTATGACGGATGAGCCGGCCATCACTGCGCTCGACCATATTATAGGGAGTGCAATGACCCGGCCCACCACGCCACCACAAGTCTGAACATTTTAGTGAGCATGACTACTCAAAACACCAGAAACTCAGACTCAGTGAGAAACTCAGAGCAGATCTTGAAGCTTCTGACGGGTGTAGTTTAAAGGGATTCCCTACACATCAACACTAATCCCCCCTACTCGTGATGCTTTTACTATCCAGCCAAATTTTATATGAACCTGCTAATGTAGCTTATTATACTGAACATCTCGTATGAGTCAGATAAATGTTACGATTTACGGTAATATATCACGTATTTCTTTATCTTGTAAGTAGGTATAATAAATACGAAAGACATATTTAATTGAAATTTAAATATAAATTAGATTGTGATTGATGTTACCCTGTATTTTGTTTATTAGTTAATATAAAATATACAATAGGTATTATTTGCGACAAACAACCTGCGAATGGTTCAATGACATCAATTTCGTCATAATCTAAATTCATTATCTTGTAGGTATCTGTATAAAAATCTCGCACGTTGTTTATCCGTCGTAAACACCAAAAAACACCAACTAATTTCTACGACATGCTCAAATGCGTAAAAAATAGGATAGTTTTTATGGATCTTTATATCAAATTAGCACAGCGCTTCGTGATCGCCTCAGCTCCTAGCGTATACAGTTTCTATATTCATAACTTGCTAATAACAAAGTTTTAAGTACATGCAGTATTTCATGATGTTCTTAACTATGAATGACGATTAGAACCGATGAAGTGAAACAAAATCTTATTCATTGATCTATTTTATCAGTAGTTCATGTATAATAAATGAGTTGAATTTTGATATAAATTATACATATAGATCCAATATATAGATTTCTATATTATGATAAATGGACAGACAGTTGGATAATTTACGATGGCAATAAAATAGCCACTTTAAATTATATTAGGTAGATAAGATAATATCAACCTTGACCAAGTGGCCTGATTTACAATTGTCTAGTCAGATAAATTTATATTTCTTTATGATGAAAATTTTTATATAAAAATATGTAAATGCTATACGATATACGATTTTTGTCTGAGGGCACCACTAGGGGTTCAAACATCGGCTCAGGCTCCGTTGGAATAAGACAAATATCAATTTGAGGGAACAAAGGCCAGACTGCGTACTATTGATAAGTCTCAACGTAGTTTTTATCTCTCAAATCTGTGGCTATCACCATAATACTTACATTTTGGCCTTTGTTGACAAAAACTGTCTGCGCACGTCTTGAATATGCTACTGATATTATAAATTCTGAAGTGTGTGACGATGAATGCATGGATACTTTTTCACCCAAAAAATATTGGACGTAGCCACAGAACAAAAGAAAGAATTCTGTGGGATGCAACAAGTGAAATTTGATACAGAAATGGACCATTTACAAATAGGATACTTTTTACTCGATTGCATGCAGGCAGTCCCGCGCTCTACGGCTAGTCATAATTACAATAATAGCTCTATAAATACCGCTTATTCGACATTATTGTTTTTTCTTGTTTTCATTCCGCTAAGACATCATATAGTTGTATTGTTATACGTTAGTTAAACATGGCATGAATCATAATTAACTAGAATATTAATGCGAACCGTTGTCAAAGTCACGTGTATATTTATATTGTACGTGTATTAAGGCGGGTCCAGATAGTTCTTATTAAAAATGTTGCCTGAAGTTAATGAAAGCAAAGCTCCAAACTTCCAAATATGTAGAATGGATAACAAATACGTGATTTATTAATGGTTGACTATGTCAGTGCAGTCCAATGGAAGTTGGTGAGACATGAGGAATTTATTTGGAAAAAACATAATGGTTTCTAGGGAGCACGATATGAAAATGCGTCTGATAGGGCATATCTCTAGCAATGGGGCCACTATGTTGTAATTGTAGCCATTTTTAGCATTCCACCAATAATAAACAACCTCCACCAATAATAGTAACGAGCGTGCCGTCCGGTCGACATGGAAAAAAATATTATAAATAGAATACCGGATCACATATTTTTATTGATGCTATGAAATATAAATCTTATCAATTGTTACGTACGAAAATAGTTTTGATGATTTTTTGTATCTTGCATACATCATTTAGCATTAACATAAATCTACGTGGTTTTCAATGCTATATGAACACATTTTAGTTATAGTTTTTTAATAAAATAAACACCTACTATTATAAAAAAACCGGTTTTTCTCTATCTTATCTAAAACTATATAAAATTACGGACAATAAATGTGTCATAAAAAAATAGTGATCTAGCAGTTTGGTAGACTCGTTTACTTCTCTAAATTTACTGATAGGCGTATTCGATTATTAAGATATTGATTACATGCACGTTACTATATTAATATGATGTAAATATACTAATGAATCTCTTTTTAGTCTTTTTATTTACAAGTGGATATAATCATTCATGTTCTGACACTGTTAAAGATTGCACCGTGCATTCAAGATATATGAATCAACATGTTATGTAACTATGCCATTTCAAGTTATATGTCATATATAGTTATATGTCAACCGCTAAGATAAATGCCAGTGAGATAAATACATGAGTAATCTTATACAGGTTCCGGCTGTAGTAGGCGGCAGGGGTTCAAATATTTTTTTCTAAAGCCACAAGACTTAACTATGGAATGGTACGAATTGGAATGGTATGGAATAGTTATAGCGACTAGCTTCAATCATAATAAACATTGTAAAAATCTTATATTGCATAAATAATCATAAAATCTACTAATTTTGTCGATTATTTTTGCAATGAGTCGGGCCTAAAGTTCTGATATTTTCGTGTGACACACTGTAGTACTCGGCATTTTAATAGGTTCCGTTCACCCGTTTGAGTTAAAAGGGACAGGCTATAGATTACTATAGTGTATTAGTAGGTAATTCCGTCATTTTACCTAACTAAGAAAATACTCCAACCTCGTGTTGTTCCAGTATTTATTTTATCACATAATATTATAAGGATATCCAAAAATTCTGTAGAAGAAATTGTTATGCGATAATATATTTAACACAAAAGACTCTCTTTTCTATGTTAAAATGTAGGTATATTCTTTGTAAAATTTATAATACTTCTGGTGCAATAATATAATAATAATATAATTCATTTATTCAGATTACTCAGATCTAATTTGTTAGTAACAATGATATTTATCTATCTTAGTATACCTAAAATTTCATATTTTATCATTTAAGCGCCCAATAAAGAGTTTTTTTTTTCTTTATTTATTTAGGAGCATAAAATCATGTTAACTCCGTTATATCTTCTTCATTACATTACATAGTATAAAACAAAGTCGCTGTCGCTATCTGTCCATCCCTATGTATACTTAAATCTTTAAAATTGCTCAACGGATTTTGAAGCAGTTTTTTTTATTAGATAGAGTGATTCAAGAGGAAGGTTTATATATATATAATACATGTACACCCGGGCGAGGCCAGGGCGAGTAGCTTTTAATAAATAAAGTATACTTTGGAGCAATAATCTTGATTAATTTTATTATGATTTCCAGAGTGGCGGTGGTGCTCTCGTCCAGCATCCAAGTCCTCTCGCTGCCGTCACTCCAGCGCGTGGCTTTGCTCCGCACACCCCCTACAGGGAGGCCATTGTGCGCGCTCTCCACAGATTCCAACGCAGCGCAGATACTCGCCGCGCCCGCTCATAGAAAGGGCTCGCTACAATTGCTGGTGAGTAGCTTTAAATTATATTGTTTTCGTTTGTATTTGAAAGTTATTGACCCAAAGAAATACGGTCAAACTTGTAATTTATAGCCCAAAATAAAAAGAAATGAGGAAATACGATATTTATTTCACAATTTTTTAATTTTGTGTATTGAATACCTATTACTTTTTAGTTTCGCAAAAGTAAAGCAGTTAATTCTTTGTTTTTGACCCCTAAAATGCCAAAAAACTCTAAAATCTCTTTTCAAGCTTTTAAATTAATTTATTATTTAAAATTCTGTCCTTAGTGATATTAATTTACTTGAATCAAACAATTTAGTATAAACAATTAGGGATTAACACATGTATTTGTAGTTTTAAAAAATATATTTCGTGACTTATTCACTGAATAGTTTTGAAATACTCATGAAATGCAAATCTGCTGTTAACAACAGTAAATAGCATAAGGAAAGTATGAATAGCATATTAAATTATATTTATGATTTATCTTCAGGGCCTCGGTTTAGCACACCGCTTTACTTCTGATGGTCGCGGGTTCGATTTTTCGCACGGTACAAACATTTATATACATGAGTATGATTGTTTGTATCGTTCTGGGCGATTTTCTATATATATATTATGTATATGTTTACAAAAAAATCTAAGTATTTATATCAGTTATTTAGTACCCATAACACAAGCACTTACCTTGGGACTAGATGACGCAGTGTGAATTGTTCAGGAATATTATTATTATCTTATTATTTTTTAATAAAAAGGTAAATAATACATATAATAGCACCGCCGTGTTCTAAAATAGACGCCCGCTCACGAGTATGATGAATTTTTTTACAGGATGTGTCCCGAGCTGTAAAAGGCGCGCAGTCGAGCTCACCAGCAGTCGTGTGCTGCCACCAGACAGATCTAGTCTGCTTGAGTCTGTCGGCCAACGGCGCCAAATTGGCCACCGCATCAGCCCGAGGCACCATCATACGGCTGTGGGACACCGCCTCCAAACACATGCTGCACGAACTGCGCAGAGGGTCTGATTACGCGGATGTGTATTGGTAAGTTATCATTAGATGACTTTTTTTAGATATTTTCTTTGTTAGTTTCACGGTTGAGACATGTGTATTAATAACAAAGTCGCTGTCGCTGTCTGTCCGTCCCTATGAATGCTTACCATAAATCTTTAAAACTACGCAACGGATTTTGAAGCGGTTTTTTAATGGATAAAGTGATTCAAGAGGAAGGTATTTTACATGTACACCCGGGCAAAGCCGGGGCGAGTAGGTAGTTATTATATATACGTACTATATATATATATTTACGTTTGAGCAGTATAAACTTCAACCCGTCGGGTTCGCTGGTGTGCTGCGTGTCAGACAAGGGCACGGTGCACGTGTGGGCGGCGCGAGGGAACTACACGCACGTGGCCGCCGCCGGGGCAGTCGCCGGCCCTACACCCGCCAACTCGCAAGCGCCCTACGCACGCGCACTCTGTGCTTTCGCGGACGATAACAACGCCGTTGGTAAGTCTTCCTTTGTAATATTTCGGTAGTTGTACACTTTGTACATAGTCGTCCTCGCTTGCCGCTTAGCGGGGTAATTATAGACAGATGTACAGAAACAAAGAAAGACACTAAAATTCTTCCGCCAAGCAGCATGTTTTGTTGATATATGTATTAACTGTGCCCGCGGTTTCACACGCGTGAATTTTATAGCCTATGTATTATTCCGATGTAAAAGCTACAGTAAGTTTAATTAAAATCCATACAGTAGATTTTCTTGAAAAAGCAACAAACATCCATCCACATAGACAAACTTTGACGTTTATAATATTAGTAAGATAAGATACATCACAATACATCCTAATATTCTATGTATATTTTAGTCCTAAATATTTAATAATTTAAAATTAGGCTCGTTATTTTGTAAGTTAAAACTCTATAACTGTCAATCGCTGAAAGAATTTCTCAAATACATTTTTTGGGGTTGCGGAGTCTACTTTCATTACAACATAATTCGCCTCTCTCTGTCTCTTTATAAAATTTGTAATATATAATACTTGTATTATTGCAGTAATCTGTGAGGATGGGACCTTCCACAAATTCACATTCTCAGCTGAAGGCAACTGCCACCGAAGTGATTTTGAATATTTCTTGCAGGTTTGTATTTCTCATTGAGAATAACATAATTTACAAATCTTATACATAATTGAAAAAGTATATGAACTTGTATTTATATAAAGGAAGATAATTATATCTCACATTCACTTAATTAAGTACGTCAATATAAAAGCAAAGAACTGATATAGAAGTAATTTAGTCAATTCGTTTATTAAAGATATGGTTAGACATCATGTACCAAAAGTCCTCACATACTTCTCCAGTCTCCTGTTTCACTAAACTCATCTCAAGCTTATATAGTAGGTAATTACGAATATTTTTTATTTTCCAGGTGGGAGACGACGACGAATTCCTGCAATGATAATTTTTTAATTACAAAATTGACTTTTGCTTGATAATTCTTAAGTGACAGAAGTGACTACTGAATAACAACAAGCGACTTTACTATTTCATATCGTGATAATTTTCTATATTAAGCTATAATATGGTACCATGTGAAATGCTGTGTGTAATAGTTTAAATAATATTTACTCAAACTACATAATCACCAGTTAAACATATATTTGCATGTGGTTTCACGCGTATTTATAATTTCTAGTGTTAATATTCTATTTATCAATTTGTGATTATTGTGATATGGATATACAACTGATGGCAATTTACCATTTTGTCTGTTATAATAATATATACTTGTTTTACTTATGTAACATACATAGATTTAATTGCTTACTTAAGTATAATAATACTAAATCATTAGTAGTATTAAATATGATCGGTGACGTAGCTTTGTCCTTCATTTTTTTAGTCTACAATTATTAAACTAAAAATCTTCGGATGAAAATACGCTTACTCGGTCTCAAATATATCCTTGTTTATGTCTCTATGTGTTCACTATGTTTTACAATTATTTGCGTGATATATAAACTCGTGCAATGTTTCTCTGTCCTTAATACTTAAGTTTTTGTAATAAAATCCTAGGTGTAATATTGACAAAGCTTATTGTTTAAGGTCGACATGTTTTTACAAAAAAAAACATTATGCATAGGGTCTAAAATTATTCGTAATTGTAAAAAGACAAATGGTACTAAATTGCATTTTTATTTTTTATTCGATGATAAGTGAAATGTATGGTTAGCTGAAATTATATATCTGAAGTGTATTTAATTATGTAATGTTAAATGTAACCGAATGCTGAACATGGTGTCTTTCATTTTGTGGGTTTGATAGAAATTTATTTTTTTGCATTTGGTTGCATTATAAAGAGTTTATGTAGAATGTCTGAGTAGCCGTTTATGTAGTGTCCAATTTTAGCATAGAACACCTCCAGTCTTATTGCAATATACGGAAGGTGGAATAAACATATATGTATGATTTATTTTATTAGATTATTACATGCCCAAATTGCAGCTTCGCGCAATTGTATTGAGTATTGAATACATTACATGTATGTGCTGTCTATGCAACTGTATGTTTTTGTATTAATATTAAGTGACGGTAAATCAATATTTAATTTATATTTCCACTCTCTTTATGCATATATTAACCTAAATCATTGTTAGATAGTCTATTTTGACTGGTGTTAGAGAAATCATTTTGTAACTTTAATTCAAATACTTCTTTTTTGTATTTTATCGCTCAATATTATGTTATACCATATTGCATTTGCTCATTCTAGAAATGTAATTTGGTAAATCCATTTAGCTTTAATTTAAAAAACTTCACAAATTTTGATGTCAAATAAATATAAATATAGGTAATATATGCTGTTTAGTCATATGTTTGACTGAGAGAAGTTAGGTTAACATAAGGGTTTCTTATTGTGTTATAAATTTATATCAAAACACATGTTCAACCCTGTTATGTAAAATTAAATGTAAAGTTTTTGTGTAATTATGTAAATATAGTTACATATAGTTTTTATACTTTGTCAGTAGAGAAATAGCTATAAATAAAATAATGTATGTCTCAGCTATGCTATAATTATGATAATTCAGAACACAGAAATTGATAATAATTCTATTAGAAAAAAACAAAGGCACATTGTAAATAAAGCTTAAAATGTCAGATTATTTTTCTATGTTATTATGAGGATTGGAAATGATTGGTAGCAGTTTCTATTGTTGGTCCATGATGATATTGTATCAACATTGAAAATTCAAAATAAACATTTTTACTACACTACTGATGTATTTTTTACCCTAATTGCATTATTACTTGCAACCTAATTGCATGATTATTCATAATAATCATGAATAATCATAATTTCAATTTTATTTTTCTGAAAACTTGTCATAAATATGTATAATGTTCAGTGCTTTCATTTTTATTTTTCTTTATTTTTGTAATCAAATAGTTCTAACAACTAAGCAAGATTTACAACTACAGGAGGGGAATTTTAGTAATGGAATTTAATATCCTTATGATCACCATCTGAGAACTGGTATGTTTTATTCCTAAGGGATTTGCCTTAATTGTCTATTGTTGACCTGCAACATTCACTGTTAACACAGGTGCATGCAACATCCATCACTATAAGAGTCAACAGCATCTAAGATGGAGTAGTCTCTGACTACAGTGGTAAATGTTGTTTTTTAATGGATGGAGTGGAAAATGATAAGATGAATATGAGGTCAGGTCAGCTAGCCCATCATAACAAATCTACCAGAAATTTGTCATGATGGTTTCCAAGGGGAACAGCATGGAGATAAATGTGATGGGTGGAACATGGGCCATTCGTTACTAAAGGGGTCATCAGTCCACATAGACTAATGACCCCATTGATAATAGCAACAATTAACAATCCCATTCCCAATGTGACATTGAGCATGGCTATATTTCATGAGGATATTTTAATTCCACTTGACAATAATCTTGCTATATGGACAATTAACATTACCATAGACCATTTTTATTATTCTAACATTACTGGAGATTATTAAAAATTTAATTTTTATGGTTTATTAATTTTGATACTTGTGGTCTATAAGTTGATGATAATAATATATAAATAAACTCACAGGTATGGAACAAATTAATAAATATAATTACATTTGCTATTTATTAACAACTAACATTGAACATAATTTATATTAACTAATTACATTATAATATTTACATAATTACTCTTATGTTTCAGGTTTTTTTCTGTCAAATGGATCTGTCCAAACTTTCATATCTGAAATAAATAATAATAAATAGTATATAGTATAGATTAGGTTTACAGGTCATTTACTATAAAAAACAAATAACTCACTTCCAGGCTGAACTTGTTCCCTATTTATATTTTTCCTTGTTTCTTTTTGAATTTCTTCTGTAATTGTACAAAATAAATATATTAAAAATTACTTCAACAAACTGTTAGCTTTGTATTTCTACTTGCCCTTATTTTTTTTTTAAATAGAGATAGGTAGTAACCAGTAAGTGTAATATGTATATATTCTCATATATTAATTAAAAGAAACTTACTATATTGTGAAGCATCTAACATAGGACTTATAATTATAGGATAAAGTGTGAGTCCTATGAAACCAACAAATCCACCAATGAAGGCGGCATATCGCCAACCTTTCAAAAATGCCATTATTTATTTATTAATATTTATTCAGTACTTTATTTCATAATTTGATTTGAAATTCGTCACAGAAAATAAAAAAACAATATTTATTTATATAACCTTAGATAAATTCTAATTATTTGAAGTAAGTTTCAATGTGTCAGTGAAATATCAAAAATTTGACATGAACGAATGAAAATAATGAATGATAAAGATTGACAGACATTTTCTTTTAATATTTTCTGGGCAATCGTAAATCACGTAATTATTTTACAAAACTAAAACTTGTCTTACAGGTATTTTAGTACTTTCTATTTCGTAGTCTTCGATAGCAGTTTGGCATTTCCTTCCATTTCATCAAGGCTGCTTTAAAACTAAAAAAGACTCTAAAATAGAAATATATACTTTTTTAATTAAAAGGCGTATCAAATAGAGAAAAAGTGGAGTCTAAAATTCGAGCCAACTAAGTTTAAAAGCTTATACTTTTGGCATCGTTTATATTAAGAGTTATTAATGAGTTAGAAGGGATCGTGTTTACAAATGTCAAATTGGCATATCTTATATATAAAATTCTCGTGTCACAGTTTTCATTCCCATACTCCTCCGAAACGGCTTGACCGATTCTCATGAAATTTTGTGAGCGTATTGAGTAGGTCTGAGAATCGGCCAACATCTATTTTTCATCCCCCTAATTGTTAGGGGAGTCTACCACTAAATTTTTATTTTTATTTTTAGACAAAATTTTTGGTTTCTATTTTTTTATGATACAATATGCAAAAATACATACAATCCTAAATTTTCACCATTCTATCATCAACCCCTATTTTTTATAGCGTTATTAATTTATATGGCAAAACGACGTTTGCCGGGACAGCTAGTATTATATATATGCCAATTATAAGAAACAACAGAACAACAGTTTCTTTTTAATCCGGACAAAAATAAAATCTGTAGTTATGTTGTTTTTCATAATTGAGATTGTTAGCTCTTTTTCTTAGGTTTAAATTTGTAACCTGATTCTGAGGCTAGTTACGCACTTATTTAGAAAACTAGTCTGAGGTGATTGACAAATATTCATGCAGGATTATAAACAATACTAGTACTAGTAAGGGGGGAAAGGGATTGTTGGTAATGGGAACTAGTAACTCCTATTGCTAGCAATGTATGGTACATTGCTAGCAATAGGAGTTACTAGTTAGGTCGACCTCCACGCGGTCCCTCCTAGAAACCATTGTGATAAATTCCTAGAGAATTTGTCACGATGGGCCAACTAACCTGGCCTCATACTCATTTTATCATCCTCCACTGGTGCCCCGTGCTGGTGCCAGCGTAAACCGTTAGCGCAAGCGGGTGCACCATTCCATTTTCATTCATACAAAAAAAAAACTAGTACTAGTATTAATACTAACTAATATATAGATAGTATTAATTTAATTTATTAAACAATTAGGTTAACCTGATATGTTGTTTCTATCGTAGCAAAATTGTTTTTTTAGACCACTATATATCTATATATAATATAATAATTATAATATATAATAATTTAATTATTCCTTATTACCCAAATTAAAAGGAAATTAAACTTTGTGTTCTTCAAATATCCACATACACACATAAAAGTACCTACCTACCACATACACCCATAACTGTAAATACTTACCTACGTAATTCGTAAACGCATTAGATAAGTTTAGCGGCTGAGATAAACAAACAGGAACGTTTAACTCACTCCAGATAACAAACATATTTCTTGACCTATTCACCATTAAAAATAAGTCGAATATTTATATTACATTACATATATAAGTGAAAATAGCCAATGGTACCTAATTGGGGTGAAGGGATTGTTAGAAATTTAGATTATTGAAATTTCTAGTAACCTACCAGGTTGTCAGGTTGACCGCCGCGAGGTTCAATCTGGAAACCATCGTGATAAATTCCTGGTGAATTTGCCACTATAGCTAACTGACCTGCTCATGCGCATTTACCTCCACTGGTGCCACCACCTTAAACCGACTTAAACCGTTAGCACAACGGATACACCATTCCATTATCATCAATTACATAAAATAGTATCTAATTAGAAAAAAACAGTAATTAAAATTTAGATAATAATAATAATCTAAGGAGAATTCACACACGAGCTTTATCTAGCTTAACTTGGGACCATTTGTCCCAATTTAAGCTAAATAAAACTCGTGTTATGGGTACTAGATAACTAATAAAAATACATATAGATATTTAGATACAGAGGTACTAACTAATAGAAGTGAGATAGGATTCAATTTCATATGAAATAAAAATTATAAATACCAATTAGTCATAATTAATTGTTTATTTTCTCTATATTAAGAAGAAAACAATAGAATGTGTCATTTTGTATATCTGAGAGATACAGACCTTATAGTAAGCGTAAATTAATTGATATAACTCAACACAGTGGTAACGAGTAGATAGTACGAAAGCACTACCGTACAAAGTTGTGATTCAATTAGTTAGATAACTACATTAAAAATAACTTACAAACTAGCTACATATTTCGTATTAATTTTTGGTAAATTATATTTGGCACAACAAAAAAATACCGACATCCATCGTTAGGCAGTTTATTGAGATCATTTCTGTGACCGTAAACACCACAGAATGACTTTTTTTTAGTTATATTAATTTCAAATTAGAGTAGGCACTGATGAAATTTCTATGTTACAAATTTGAAAGTACGAGCACAAAATTGTGGGGTACACAATTAAAAGTTCTTCGATTTTCAAAATATGTGGACTGTATTTCAATTTGTTTCTTATTCTATGGGTCGGCCGGCCGGAGTGGAGTTTTCTTGATCGCATACGCCACCGACGAATATCCTTGGCAATAAAAGAAATAATTTTCCAATTCATATTAAAAATGCTGGGGATTTTGTCTATCTATGTGCATTACAGAAACATCACTGAATTAAGAATGCCCTTCCTTTCTTGAAGTCGGTTAAAAATAGTTAATTAGTTACTAAATTTAACTCATTGGTATAAAAATCTTCATTATAATTTGTACTGCTGACACCTTCCTGTAATAACTGCAATAGTTTCTCATACACGAGTTTTGGAGCGTCTACCGCCCACAGAAAATCTATGTGATTGAATTCTTTTAACGGCACTACATAATGCTCAATTGGATTAGCTATTTGCACATACAGATTCGTTACATCGACGTCACTGGATAACCAGTCATTTTGCGCACTAAACAATGCTATAGGCAGGGTTATTTTATGCACTGGATATTCCGGTGGTAACGAGGTACCATACTGTTTCATGTTTCCATCAGGTCCAAAGTCAAATTGCTGAAAACGGCCGTCTTTACGAATCTCTTGAGCGTAGTGGACCAGTGTCCTTGTCGAAGCTCCAGCCGGCACATGACCTAGTATTATAGGCAACAAAGATCTATTGAACTGCCTCTCGTCATGACCGCAAAGTACAAACATGGAGTTCTCACATATCGCTTCTTCATAATGATTTATTTCACATGCATGTTTTGATAACCATCGAAGAACAGCGTTCTGAGGTAAAAACTCATTTGCTCCAAGTAGTTTCATTAGGTATTCAATGTTGTCACTAAATTTTGCTAGTAGTCTTATTGGGCTTTTTATGTCTGTCATGTAGGCTACAGGAGCCAAAGCAAAGCCAGCTCTCAGAACTTTATTGTATTGAGTCTTTGTAGATAACAGGGCGAACAGCACAGTTGTCCCCATGGAATGGCCTATGTAATTTATTTTGACGTCCCAACCTTTTAACTCCATTATATAATCGATTACTGCGGGTAGGTCATGTTGACTAACATCATGGAAAGTAAAATTCCAAAATTCAAAACTGTCAACGTTTCTAGACACGTGTGCTCTGGAGTAAGTATTGCCTCTGACATTAGCCATCCATACATCATAACCAGCTTCTGACAAGATATAAGCTAATCCTTTATCTGGTCCAGCTATTATCCAATCAGCGGAACTCCCAAGCAACCCATGATGAAGGAGAACCGTTTTCCGAGGACTCACTTTACCTGGAGAATTTTTGGAATATGGTATCCTATGTATTGTGAGGATATACCCATCATCTGTCATAACAGTATGTGACTCTGCAGGATATCCCTGAAGAACTATTAATTGTGGCGTAGTCATGTGTATAGCTGGGTCGTCATTAGAGCATGTATATTCCACTTCTGCAGGGGCAATTGAATCAAAAATCTTATTTTCCTTTAATTCTGCTTCAGCTATATAATCTTTAAATTTCCTTTTAATTCTTGCCTGTTTATCTATTATACTTGGTGGATCGACGTCATTATTTTTCCCAAAGTACGATGTTATCTTGTTGCGCACATTTTCAACGTAGAAATTTTTGATGCTCCTTCCCTTTTCTTTCACATAATTTGTGATTTGTGAAGTTTTATTTGTAACTGCATCTACTATCGAGTTTGGAAGCCAGGAGACATGCCGTGAATCACTGCATTGCATTAATATGAACAATGTAAACACAAGAAGTGGTAGTTTCATTTTGTTTACACGCAGCGTTAGGATAAAACAAGTGTGACGATGTGCCGTGCTCCGACAACTGAACCGATTATTGAAGTTAACATGTAATATACTACTGTATGAGAGGTCAAGGGGAGATATGATTCATTTGCGATACAAATACGTATCTTAATTTACAATATGTCATTAAATAAACAAAGCTAATTTCTGAATCATTCATTATGTCGTACAAATAAATAAATTAATATTATTTACTAAGTATATGATGATAGCTACAGTTATGTATTAAGTAGGTATTCCTACTACTTACTCCTATAAATACTATTCCTATATCTATTTTGCTTTATGTGCTTATTTTATGACGCACTATGCTATGTTTCTTGTCCAAAGTATTCTTATTTATAAATTTATAACTGTAAACACAATCACAGAAATTACAAACATGAATAATCCTAACTGAAGAATAAAAAAATATCTATCCAGACCTTTTAGAGCTATGTACCTATATAGGTACATAGATGAGAGTAAATGCTGATGATTAACCGAAAGAAGATTTAACCGTGCAAAGATTAATTTTTAATAGTAACTTACGTCCAAGTATGTAATTTTTGAAATGATTTCAAAAATTATTATTATGTGAAGATATTTTATTAAAAAAAAAGGATATTTTTAAATTAATTGCACCCATGCAAAGCTTGGGCGGGTCGCCCTGCGGTGAAAGAGAAATGATTTATATTTTTATATGTTTTATAACGAATAAATACAAAAACTATTAGATCAATTTAAAAAAAAAATCACCTACAATCAAGTTCGAATCCCCAATATTTTCTCGATATTACCTCGTACATCCAAACTCACAAACTTTATAGCCCCCAAGCCAAAGATTAATTTCATTAATTATTTCCTTCCGGTTAGAAACTTTTAAGACAGTTAAAATTCACTTAAGCAGCGGTTCTTAGGGCAGGTTGAGGAGCAGCGTTCATAACAATATACTAACATACCTAGGTACATATTGAAAATTAAAATTAATCAGCTGGTTGTAGCGGTGTATTATATATATGTCATACCAACTATTTCCTGCACTTTTGGCTGTTTATTTCGAAAAAAAGTAGGAATTTTTCAAGTTACATTTCATTCAAATCCGTTCAGCAGTTAATCAAGAAAGGTAAGAGACAGACAGATAAACACAGACATACTTTCGTATCAGCCCGAATTTGCACAACACGGGACCCATGCTCCGGGCGGCAAGGTTTAGGGCCTGCGAATTCGAATTTGGCAGAATACACAACTCATCAACGCACTGATGACAACTTCACCGTTGACATGACAGGTATTTTATTTTAATTTTTGATATCTTTGAAGATGAAGATGTAACCGTTAAAAAGCTACAATGTTTAACAGCTACATTAATTGGACAAAGGAAAAATTGAATGTAAATTCTTAGGAGGGCAGCACTTTGTTTTCGCCGCACCTTGATCCGTGGCTGTTTCGCATTTATAATATTTGTATTAATAGTCAGTACCCACAGCTACTAAGTAGTTACAATAAAAATGTGTGACATTGATTTGAATATTACTTACATCACAGTATGGGCATTTTTATTATTATAGTACACGAAATGAATCATTGTTTTAGACTTTAGACTTTTTAACAAAGTGATACACAATTTATGCAAGTATTATTTACGGAATTCATAATAGTTACTCATTTAACAGTTGAGTAAGCACCTCTGTGCATTGAAATCTTTATTTTATACCAGTTTGTACAGCGGCTTCTCTCACCTATGCGCCGTTTAAATTAACTAGTTTATCGCATCACATTTTTCTATGTTAGTAGATAATGGTCATGCAAGTTCGTACAGTGCACTGCCGCATAATCATACAGTGAAACTCAAAATATAGTAATTTAATTTTGGACACTGTCGCATGCATAACTATAAGTACAATGTGTTTTCAATTTACATTATTTAAAATCTATTTTCATAGCTATCAAGATACCATGTCGGATTGACTTCCACGTGGTTTCCCCTGGAAACCATCGTGATAGATTTGTGGCGAATTTGTCACGATGGGCTAATTGACCTGACCTCGTGCTCATATGATCATCCTCCACTGGTTTCCCGCCAGTGAAAACCGTTAGCATAGGCTTGTGCACCATTACATATCATCCCTTAAAAAAATCCCTTAGTGTCCACTAAGGAATTTTTTTTATTGTATTGTTTAGGATATGTTTAATAGACAGATATTGTATAGCATGGAGTCATATAAAATGGTGAAATCGGTTTTTAAAACGCATATAAAGTTAATACTAGAAATATTTTTATCTGAATTGTATTATTGGATTTTCTTACCATAGCTAATGGGTTCATTCAAACGTTGCATAGTTTTTTTTCTTATGGCAATTTTATTTCACTATTTATATGTAATAACAGAGGGCACCACATTCCACACATCAATTATTTTGCTACACGATTTTAAGCTTTAAGCGATTACAGTAAGACTAAAAATAAATTATAGCCCAAGAGCCCACGACTGCCAGACATACGTCATTTTAATAAACGTGAAAGTTCTTGTATGTGTGTCCCCAACACAGGTAAGAACGATCCCCAAATATGAAACCTGGATCGTGGTTCCTTTGGCAGGTACCAGGTAACAAAGGTGTAAAAAAAATCATACCAAATTCGTTATTTTAAGAAACTCCATATTTTCATATATTGTTCGTAGCACTATTATAATTTGCGCTGCTCATTGCCAGACACGTAGTGTGGTTCCAACCCCACGCCGGACCCCCCTAAACTATACTATTTTAGAAATAAACTTACGTCATTTTAATAAAGCTGAAATTTATATATATTATTGAGAGTTCTCTCAAACTGAGTTTCCTAAATTGCCAGACAGTTTTCTTGGTTCCTTATCATACCAGACTCATTGAAACCGTATATTGGGTAACAACGGTGTATACAATTTCATATCAAAATCGTTATTTTAAGATGCTCCATTTTTTCACATATTGCTCGTAACAGTATTATAACTTGCCCTGCTCATTGCCAGACCCTTAGTGTGGTTCCAACCCCCCGCCGGACCCCCCTAAACTATACTATTTTGTAAATAAACTTACGTCATTTTAATAAAGCTGAAATTTATATATATTATTGAGAGTTCTCTCAAACTGAGTTTCCTAAATTGCCAGACAGTTTTCTTGGTTCCTTATCATACCAGACTCATTGAAACCGTATATTGGGTAACAACGGTGTATACAATTTCATATCAAAATCGTTATTTTAAGATGCTGAATTTTTTCACATATTGCTCGTAACAGTATTATAACTTGCCCTGCTCATTGCCAGACCCTTAGTGTGGTTCCAACCCCCGCCGGACCCCCTAAACTATACTATTTTGTAAATAAACTTACGTCATTTTAATAAAGCTGAAATTTATATATATTATTGAGAGTTCTCTCAAACTGAGTTTCCTAAATTGCCAGACAGTTTTCTTGGTTCCTTATTCCACCAGAATCATTGAAACCGTATATTGGATAACAACGGTGTATACAATTTCATGTCAAATTCATTATTTTAAGATGCTCCATTTTTTCACATATTGTTCGTAGCATTATTATAACTTGCGCTGCTCATTGCCAGACACGTAGTGTGGTTCCAACCCCCCGCCGGCCCCCCCTAAACTATACTATTTTATAAATAAACTTACGTCATTTTAATAAAGCTGAACCTTATATATATTATTGAGAGAACTATTAAACTGAGTTTCCTAAATTGCCAGACAGTTTTCTTGGTTCCTTATCCTACCAAACTCATTGAAACCATATATTGGGTAACAACGGTGTATACAATTTCATATCAAATTCGTTATTTTAAGATGCTCCATTTTTTCACATATTGCTCGTAACAGTATTATAACTTGCGCTGCTCATTGCCAGACACGTAGTGTGGTTCCAACCCCCCGCCGGACCCCCCTAAACTATACTATTTTAGAAATAAACTTACGTCATTTTAATAAAGCTGAAATTTATATATATTATTGAGAGTTCTCTCAAACTGAGTTTCCTAAATTGCCAGACAGTTTTCTTGGTTCCTTATCATACCAGACTCATTGAAACCGTATATTGGGTAACAACGGTGTATACAATTTCATGTCAAATTCATTATTTTAAGATGCTCCATTTTTTCACATATTGCTCGTAACAGTATTATAACTTGCTCTGCTCATTGCCAGACCCTTAGTGTGGTTCCAAGCCCCCGCCGGACCCCCCTAAACTATACTATTTTGTAAATAAACTTACGTCATTTTAATAAAGCTGAAATTTATATATATTATTGAGAGTTCTCTCAAACTGAGTTTCCTAAATTGCCAGACAGTTTTCTTGGTTCCTTATAATACCAGACTCATTGAAACCGTATATTGGGTAACAACGGTGTATACAATTTCTATCAAATTCGTTATTTTAAGATGCTCCATTTTTTCACATATTGCTCGTAACAGTATTATAACTTGCTCTGCTCATTGCCAGACCCTTAGTGTGGTTCCAACCCCCCGCCGGACCCCCCTAAACTATACTATTTTGTAAATAAACTTACGTCATTTTAATAAAGCTGAAATTTATATATATTATTGAGAGTTCTCTCAAACTGAGTTTCCTAAATTGCCAGACAGTTTTCTTGGTTCCTTATAATACCAGACTCATTGAAACCGTATATTGGGTAACAACGGTGTATACAATTTCATATCAAATTCGTTATTTTAAGATGCTCCATTTTTTCACATATTGCTCGTAACAGTATTATAACTTGCTCTGCTCGTTGCCAGACCCTTAGTGTGGTTCCAACCCCCCGCCGGACACCCCCAAACTATACTATTTTATAAATAAATTTACGTTATTTTAATAAAGCTGAACTTTATATATGTTATTGAGAGAACTATTAAACTGAGTTTCCTAAATTCCCAGACAGTTTTCTTGGTTCGACAACGATCAGAGCAAGTTATAATACTGTTACGAGCAATATGTGAAAAAATGGAGCATCTTAAAATAACGAATTCGGTATGAAATTGTATACACCGTTGTTACCCAATATACGGTTTCAATGAGTCTGGTAGGATAAGGAACCAAGAAAACTGTCTGGCAATTTAGGAAACTCAGTTTAATAGTTCTCTCAATAATATATATAAGGTTCAGCTTTATTAAAATGACGTAAGTTTATTTATAAAATAGTACAGTTTAGGGGGTCCGGCGGGGGGTTGGAACCACACTACGTGTCTGGCAATGAGCAGCGCAAGTTATAATAATGCTACGAACAATATGTGAATAAATGGAGCATCTTAAAATAATGAATTTGACATGAAATTGTATACACCGTTGTTATCCAATATACGGTTTCAATGATTCTGGTGGAATAAAGAACCAAGAAAACTGTCTGGCAATTTAGGAAACTCAGTTTGAGAGAACTCTCAATAATATATATAAATTTCAGCTTTATTAAAATGACGTAAGTTTATTTACAAAATAGTATAGTTTAGGGGGGTCCGGCGGGGCGTTGGAACCACACTAAGGGTCTGGCAATGAGCAGGGCAAGTTATAATACTGTTACGAGCAATATGTGAAAAAATGGAGCATCTTAAAATAACGAATTTGATATGAAATTGTATACACCGTTGTTACCCAATATACGGTTTCAATGAGTCTGGTATTATAAGGAACCAAGAAAACTGTCTGGCAATTTAGGAAACTCAGTTTGAGAGAACTCTCAATAATATATATAAATTTCAGCTTTATTAAAATGACGTAAGTTTATTTACAAAATAGTATAGTTTAGGGGGGTCCGGCGGGGGGTTGGAACCACACTAAGGGTCTGGCAATGAGCAGGGCAAGTTATAATACTGTTACGAGCAATATGTGAAAAATGGAGCATCTTAAAATAACGATTTTGATATGAAATTGTATACACCGTTGTTACCCAATATACGGTTTCAATGAGTCTGGTATGATAAGGAACCAAGAAAACTGTCTGGCAATTTAGGAAACTCAGTTTGAGAGAACTCTCAATAATATATATAAATTTCAGCTTTATTAAAATGACGTAAGTTTATTTCTAAAATAGTATAGTTTAGGGGGTCCGGCGGGGGTTGGAACCACACTACGTGTCTGGCAATGAGCAGCGCAAGTTATAATAGTGCTACGAACAATATATGAAAATATGGAGTTTCTTAAAATAACGAATTTGGTATGATTTTTTTTACACCTTTGTTACCTGGTACCTGCCAAAGGAACCACGATCCAGGTTTCATATTTGGGGATCGTTCTTACCTGTGTTGGGGACACACATACAAGAACTTTCACGTTTATTAAAATGACGTATGTCTGGCAGTCGTGGGCTCTTGCTCTATTAGATTATAGAAGTGTGTTCTGGCATTGCGTTACGTACGTGGCTTCTTTGTATCTTTTCTTTTTATTACTTGTCATTTTGCATTCGTATTACATTAAATCGTAAAATAGATTCCAAATCACTCTACATTACTCGCAATATAACATTGCAAGTTTAAATTAATATTATAATTATCTACAGTCAATATTTATTTTCGGAAATGAGCATTTAATTTCCGTTATATCAAGAACTGACACAATGGACTTAGACGATCGCAATAACTCATCGCACAGAAGCCATAGAAATTTCTATCAACATGTATTTTACATTGGAACTTGACGATAAATTTGGAAGTATTGGATTGGGAAAGATGCCAAAGGAAGTAGCAGCAGTATTCCGCTGAAATGCAGTAGAGGTATATACCAAAAACAATAGAACGAAGTGTAACTGATTTACTCAGTTTATCTTTGTTCTTTTTTATTAAAGAAAAATGAAATTCATGAACTGTCTGTGTTTATGAAGTTTAAAAGTTAAAATGTTTTTCTTATAGCCACATACTTTATACTCGTCAAATATGTAACTGATAAGTATAAAGTACTTATTTTCTTATTGTTTTCATAATCACTTATTCAGTTCGTATAAGTACGTAAATTAATTTTGTAGTTAGTATATATGTGTAATTATCCCGGGTACCATGTTTATTGGGACTTCCACATACGATGGAATCAATAATATTTAATAAGTATTTATTTCACTAGTAATTGTATATTTAAAGACAAGATCTTATCGATATCTTGACTTTAAAAACTCAATTTTGTTCAATTGCACATTAGTTTTCCTTTTTTCCATTGAGATGTTCAAAACCTTCATTCTATGAATCCAGTTTGCGGGTACTATGTTCATCGTGTTATGAACCTGGTGATAGAACTTACCGTCAGTGGGCTAGCCAAAGTCATAGTATATTTTTGATTATAATATTTCTGATTGCAACTCATTATGTGCATAATAGTCAATAAAATATCAATGCAATATTTTTCATAAAAATATATGCAAATCCTAACAGGATATAAAACAGAATAGGGAGTGGATTAGGCCTACTGGGGAAACCACTATAAAAAAACGCACCAAGTGTTCTACCTCTTGGTGGTGTGGAAATGAACACAAAAAAAATCTAAAATATATAATGTATTTTAAAAATATACAAGTATGTACTAGAAAATGTGTTTTATTTCATTACATAATTCATTAAAATCTCCAATTTTCCACTTTTCCAGTTCAAGTTCAAGATGTTCTTTCTGAAGGCTATCATAATCTGCTGAATCTAGAAGTTATTACACAATTTTTAAAGGGGATAAAAATATGAATAACAAATATTATTATATTATCACTTTGTGTTTACATTGTGTACATAAGGAAGAATGTAAATACTTTAGGCTTTAAAGAACAAAAAGGAATTCAGTTGTTTCTTGCCAGTCCTTATTTGAATCTGTATTCTGAACTATGGTAGGGAAAAATAATGCAAAATATATATCCATAAGCAGCTAATTGTCCTACATGAAGAAATTATTTTTGATTTGTGTTTGCTGTTTGATAATTGGATAAAGTATGAAAGTAAACAAGCAGAATAACAGCATATAAATAAAAAGATATACTAACTGTATACTGTAAACCATCCACTTATTTCACAAGCAGCAATGTTGAAGGCATTTGTCTGCTTTGCAATGACACTGCTCTTTCTAGGCCATATCAAGATCCGCAATACATCTCTATCAATATCACTAGATCTTTGTTTAACAGTCTGCCCTCTAGTTATGAATATATTATGTGCAATAGATTTTTCTAAAAAATATTCCAGAAGTTTGTATATTTCACTAGTTACTTTCATAGCAGAATTTTGATCTTGTATTTCAAAACAAAAGCCAGGAATTGGGTAGTCATCAAAGTAATAGATGTCATTAATTAAGTGAGTACATTTCTGAAAAAAGGTGGGGTTAAATGTCTTATTGTGCTTTTATAAATAAAGAGGTAATTTCCGAAGATTTACACTGTCTCAATTTTGGTTATTACACAGTAATAATTTTTATTAAGATTAAAATTAGTAAGAAATAATGTCTGACACATACATTGTGTGTTATAATAATGATATTATAGAACTTACTATAGATTCCACTGGAAGGTTACTTTTCTCCAGAAACAAGTGATAGTGAAGATGATTGACTGAGGCCAGTCCACACAAACTATTGAATGCAAATCGCAAGTCACTGTAAAACATATGAATTGAGAAAACAGTTGAGAAGATTTAAAAATCTTTTTTTGGTGTACATTGTCTGTACTTACCGATCTCCAGCCAGATAGAATATTTTAACAGCCAACTGCAAACTTTCTAAGGTAACTATTTGTGGCAAACAGTTATTGATTGAAGGACATACCAAAGTGTGGTAATGAGACAGTGGACTTACATTTACCAATAGTGCATGCTGGGATGATTCTAAAAATAAAAAAACAAACTCATTAAGCACTTTTAGGAAAGTAAGCATCAAATAAATATTAGCAAATACATTACAAAAATTTAAGTAAATAGTACCTAATTAGATTTACCATTATCATCTGTTAAATAAAAAAGTATTTCCTTTGGTGATATTTTTGTAAAATTGAATTCATTATTGTTAAATGGTTGACATATATTTTCAATATGTTCTGGCATTCTCCTCTTAGTGCCACGGTCTGGATTTAACTACACAATAAAAAAGACATGTTTTATCAATTATAAAATAAAATTATATAATTATGAAATTTTACTTATAGTTTTCCTACCTGAATTACATATTTATCGTCTATTGACTTTTTCTGTAAATTTAGTATTTTATACCTGAATAAACCTGTTTCACTATGGAGCTCATCCCATTTCTGTTTCAAAAGTTGTATGAATTTATATTTCTGATTACTATCGATGAAATAGCTAAACTTATACATTACTTATATAGGTATAATGAATTAAGCAATAAGTAGTGTTGTCAATAATATTTGGGTGTGTAATATAAGATAAGGGAATTTTCTTTTTAGAATATTTTTTTTATAAATAGTCGATATGTTGATAAATGCATCAACAGCAATCAACAGCAGACAGTTAGGCAGGCTGTCAATCAACTATGGTTGTGTGTTCTGTCCACAGAACACCAATATCCTTATAACTGTCTACTGTCAAGTGACAGCAATTTTATTTTTATATGGCGGGTTGTCCGTGGTTCCCTTTGCCTTTCCATTAAAGGATATTTTTTTTTTTTCCCATCCATTAAAGGATAATATACAGAATCAATTTTTTTTTCATTTTAACGACTTGGCAAATTGGTGCATTTGCCTCAGATAATTCGGAAACGGTAATGCGTTAATGGGAGATTATATGGAAACTGAATTTACATCAAAGGAGTATGAGAAAATATACAGATTTTTTTAATATCTATAAAATGAAACAAAAGAAAATATTGATTATAGAGACCTATTAGTCAACCTTCAGGGGATTGGCTCTCGTATAGAAAATATTCGTTTCGTAAAAAAGGATATTTTCTACTGGTATTTATACTCGTTTTCCGTCAATAGATTTCTTTCATCATTGGGCAGTATAGTAAACCAAATTTATTATTAATTGTAATTAGGTTCGAGATATGTAGGCAGGGCATCATCAAAAGAGGAGGTTGATTTAGGTCTTAACACCACAGCAGTATCTATAATTATTTCATAATCCATAATCGCATCCATTAAAGACGCGATAATGTTTATTCAATTTCTTCTATGGAAAATTCGATATCGAAACTAAAGTTTGGTCGGTCACTATTTCCAGATTAAGCTCTCTAATTAAGTTTCACTACACGATCCGAGTAAAAAATAATGAACAATTGTCATAGAATAGATAGCTTATGAAAAAGAAAAGGGGAGAAATTTTTCTATAAAACCGGAAATTTTAAAATAAGTGTACTTAACATCAATAGTATAAACCTTGCTGTTAAGTTATCCAAAGCCGTAAAGCTAGTTAAAAATATATCTTGCACAAGAGAAAATTAGTTATACGGTGGCTCTTGCGATTGAAGAGTAACAATCGCAAGAGCGATTGTATCCCCAAATAATTAACTACCGACCATAGGGTCATCCGTAAGTGTAAATGTGGCCCTAATAACAAGAACTTGTTCTTAGGGTCTGATATTAATCTATTAAAAAAGCAGCACCAAAGAAATTTTAGAGTATTGTTAGTAATGTGGACTAATATCTCTATTCCTAGCAATGATCCATATCAGGTTCATTTCCACGCGGTTTCCCCTGGAAACCATTGTGATAAATTCGTGGCAAATTTACCACGATGGGCTAACTGACCTGATCTCACGCGCATCTTATCAACTTCCGCTACCAGTGGAAGATGATAAGATGAGCTTGAGAGTCAGTGTAAACGTTCGAGCAAGCGGATACTCTGTTCCATTTTCTTCCATAAAAGAAACTAAATAACCTACAAATGGGGTTTGGTGTTAAAATCTTTACATATAATTAAATATTAACCTACTGAATTTTGCAATATAAAAATAAGCAGTTTAATAATAAATAAAAATCATGAATAATATAAAATAATATTATATATATTTATTTTAATACAAAATTTTATTACTCATATATTTATAGCATATATAAACTAAATTGGATTGTTAGGATTTTGAGGATTACTCTCATCATAAAGTAATAATATATCCATTATTTTTTGTGAGGCTACGGCTGCTTCATATGAGTTCATTTCAGATAGTTTCTTAGTTACTGTACGGCCTACATGACCATGTTTTGTATTATCCAATCCAAATGCATCATTTTGCATACCCTTGAACACTTTTATTAAATTATCCACAATGACTTTGCATTTTATATTCGGATCATTTGAGTTATCATGGTAGTCCTCATCACTGCTCCAGGCCTGTTGTATTTGGATATTCTAAAAGTAAAATATAGGTAATATTTAGTACTACTAGGATGCATAATCCAAAATCATGTGGTTGTTAACAGAATATCTAAATATTATTTCAAATTCCTAGCTTATTTAATACTAAGAATAACTAAATATAGTATAGTATATGTACACTAGAACTTGTAAATAGCATAGTTTTTATGCCCAATACTTACATTAATATTAATTTCTTGTTGTTCACCAATTTCTTCGATGTTTAATTGAGATGCTGATTCATTTTTTATTTTTTTGTTAACTTTGGTTAAAAATTGGCATGCATTCCATAGGTGCCAATTTATTGTGTACTCCTGAAGATATGAGAGAAATAGCAAATAAATACAATTGTAATGGCAGAAAATGCTAATATTTATTACAGAGCTTGAATAAGCACAAAAATAGCTATATAAGTATCTTGGTTTGACCTATATCAGCCTATATATAGTCAGCTTGTATTATGAGATGTGTTTTAGTTGAACAATAAGATATGGCAGTGAAATTACAGGGAATGGAAGGTTACATCTCATTTTTTCAGCAGGAAGTTAGTAAATGCAGAATTTACACTATTGTGAATTAATAGTCCTTTTGATTTATAAGGTTACTCTTTTTTTAATTGAGGGTTTTGGGTTATTGTCAGGTGTTAAGACCTGTAGCACTACAGACTACATAAATCTATTGTATATTATAGTTGATCTAGTTGCATTTGGATTGGATAATATAAAACATGTCCATATATATATATACATAGCATGTAGCCATTGTTTCACAAAATATGGATTTATTAATAATTTATAATAACAGCAAACCTCATAATCCTAAGAATGCAATTTATTTATTATTTATTATACAGAGGCTATAATATACGACTATACTACTTGTGAATTAAAACAGTCTAAATTTTAATTATTCAACTAAATTTAATGTTTAGTATAGACTAAGTTAGTAGTAAAGTAGGTGTTTGTGACTTAATTTTTAATGTGTAAGCCGATGATTATATTTTTAATTCATTAAGGAGGTAGGGGATTGCTAGCAATGTATTTTGTCAGGTTGACGTTCAAGTGGTTACCTCTGGATACCATCATGATAAATTCCTGGCGAAAATGCCATGATGAGTGATGACTGACCAGACTTAATCGCATCCTTTATTGGTGCCCCGCTAGCGTAAACACGCACAGGCGGTTGCATAATTCCATTATCATAAATAAAGATATATCAAAGATAGCCACTAACTTCACCATCGGCTTTCGCACGACTCGCTTTTAATTTTCGTAAATAATTCGCATAGGTAGATCTTATGTTCGTCCATCGATCTTTTACTGCTTGACCAGTAAATTCATTGCCGTATTTAGATGCAAATTCTGCGTACGTTTGATCCCTGCTTTTAACTGATGTGTATTTAGGATGTTTAGGGTTCCAAATGCTTGGTCTGCTTTCTATAAATTTAACAAGTTTCAAATTCATCTTTCTTGTCCAAAAAACCTTTTCTTTAGCAAAATCCGTTAGCATTTTGTTATTTATTTTTGTCAAAACATGTAAGTTTGCGTTTCACCTGTTTACATATTTATTTATGTTTTATTTTGAAAATTCATTTACTGAAATATCAATACATAAAAGTAAGTAAACAGAATGATGAAATGAATGAAGGATATAACATTTTGAATGAAATTGAATGAATGATTTTTATTTTTTTTATAGATTTTATTGGCTCTGGATGTTGAGTGATGCCATTACCCTTGTCAGAAATGTAATTGAAACTGCCCGTAATATTTGTTAAAATAATATACATGTAAGGGGATCCCTTACAGGTCTATTATTATAGTTAAAAGATTAATGTTTTAGTGGGAATAAATATTATTTATATATACAAAAGACTAATGTAAAATTATTTCATTCATGTCTTATTATTATATATTTATTTATTTACTTTATAATTATTCATTTCATTAATTATTTCAATAATAAAATAAATTATTAGAGGAATTGACCTATGGAATTAAAGTTTTGCGTCAGGAAACACGAAATTTTATTTCACTTGGGATCTTTAAAACAAGGCAAAAATACCCATCCTTTCTAATTTATATTGTCCAAGACCTTGCTTCTGTGTTTTGTTGTTGTAAAAAAACTAAAAGGATTGTGGTAAAATTATAAGACAGAAAAGTGGTTAATTGCTCAGTGACTGAATGGTGTATACCTCTGTTTATTTCCCTTTCAGTCGCTTAACACAGTGTAAAAACTAAAAGCTGTTAACGCGTTGGCGCGCGAACTAAGCAGCAGTAATACTAAAACATGTTTAGAGTATGATAAATTTAGCCATAAGGTGGATTTAAACTAAGCGAAAAATCTCAATCTTATCCAACTATATGCACGCAGCATAGTGAATTAATATCTACATAAAAATATTCTTCTGTAAAGAAATGTAACACTTAAGTATAATATTTATAACAAACATTAAGGTATTTTTTTAAAAATCCAAATTTCAAACCAAGGAAGAAGAGTAAATTTTTTTCGAATGTACATATCTACGGACACAACAGAGCAGGGACCTTGCACTTCACATTTTGTTACACAAAAAAAAATATAACTCGGCAATGGTACCGTAAAAAGTAGTATGCAGAAAGGGAACGGCCGCGCCGTTTTGATGTCCGTGAGCGCAATGTCAGCTGCGTAGCCACTGCACTGGCTGGTTGCCGCCAAACCAACCAAACTGTACATTATCCACAGTTCGAAGTGGTTTGAGTCGCCCGCGCAGTCGCAGTCGCGGCCTTAACCGCCATGGGTCGTTCTCTTCGCTCGTTCTCTGCGTATACGCACCCTTTTATTGCGAAATATGCCCGTCATACCGCCACCGGATGTCCATTTTCAAAACGCCAGCGTTCTCAAATCGCGCCAACTGCTGAACTCAACGAGGAAATTTTCGCGAACGCCAAACCGTACTCTGAAGTACCAGGGCCCAAGCCCTTACCATTATTGGGGAATACGTGGCGCATGGTCCCTATTATTGGACAATTTGATATATCGGAATTTGCTAAAGTGACCAAATTTTTTTTGGAGAAATACGGAAGGATTGTGAGACTGGGTGGTCTTATAGGTAGACCTGATCTTTTGTTTGTATATGATGCAGATGAGATCGAAAGAATGTATAGACGAGAAGGACCCACCCCCTTTCGACCGGCTATGCCTTGTTTAGTGAAATATAAATCTGAGGTACGCAAGGATTTCTTTGGAGAGTTACCCGGTGTTGTCGGTGTGTGAGTATTATTTTTTAATAATATTTTTTTCAATAATTATAAAGTTTTGTCGTTATATATTTTAATACTTTGAAATGCCTAATATGAAAACTAAGAAGCTTCTTTACGTCGTCGTATTTTTGTTGCTAATTTAGTTGCAATTGAAGTTCTACAAAAAAGGTTGTAGGACAAATAATTACTTAAAATATTATTTGTGTGCCTGTTTACAAAGATTAACTTTACTTCTTAAAAGTTAATTAGAGGAATTAAAAACTTATAGGAATATTCCTGTGCCATATAAAATGTTACGTTCTTACACATAGAATATATAAATACCTTTATGGCTTCTAATATTATTATAATATCTGCACAGTGAGGAAGAAATTTACCATTACATTTCTTCTTCATCTTCATTAGTATTTAGAGCGGCAACGTTACCGAGTCACAAAGAACTTTCACATTTTTCTTATAAAGGTGTATGTACTGTATGTACCTACTGTAATTTGTGATACTTAAATACCAACACCACTCGTGTTTAAATTGTGTTCATTTTTGATTTGAATTACATATTTACTTATCCTCACATCTGTGTTCATCAGGGTTTTTAGAGACAATATTACCTACACAAAATTGTCCAATTTAGACAGACTTTATTGGCTTCTTTTACATCTATCAACGTATTCAAACAAGTACAAGTACCTACTTGCAAGTAACTCGAATGTACGCAATAAAAAAATATTATTAAACAATATTTCCAACTAGTATAAATGATAATACAAAACAAAGATTTTTTTTGCTAGACAAATATTCAGATTAACGCTGCAAAATATATATAACTCTGTATTAAACAGGCGTTAGTGTAGTTAGGCGTTAATGTTGTCGCCTATTAACTTCAAAATTCTTAAAACCAACTCTTAAATCTGTCTACATTCGCTAAGAGTTCGTACTTCTATTAACTTTTAATTAAATAGACACACTGATTTTCTTTTTATATCGATCTAAAGTGAAACTGTAGAAAGGTAATCATACGCACGTAAAAGTACGCACTTGCAGACTAAATCATAAAACCTCGAGAGTAAAGATTATACTTAAGTTGAGATGAGTGAGATGAAATTGCATTGAGTTAAAAATAGGATAGTACTGAAATTATAGACAGGCATATAACTTAATATTTGCCCGCCAAAATGTAGACATGTTACAACTGATACTAGCGACCCACCTCGGCTTTACACAGGTGTAAAGTGTATGTGTAATTGTATGGCTGTCATCTAAGTAAGTATCTAGTTTATACATGTAAAACGTTCCGGAAGAAATTCATGAAATTATATAGAATGAGTGGAGAAACAGACTGAATCAACAATTTACGTTGTTTAACAACTAAAACGTTTTATATTGTCTTTAGATGATATTGGCTGCATTATTAGAGACAGAGATGTGGTGTCAGTTCTATCAGCCCATTACTTTATTTTCCATTTCAAATCCTTTCAAGAAGAACAATAATTTCTTTCAAGAAGATTTGCAGCTCCTAGTAATATGGAAATTACGTGGATATCTAAGTATGTTGATTGCTAGGAATGACGTGAAAGTTTCTGTACATCCCAACATGTAGTTGTCTACGTAAAATTTATATCCTGTAACAAACCTAAATAATCAAGCAAATCGAAAAATTGGAAAGACGTTTTTCTTTCGATATTACGGAACTCCTAAAAGCAATGTTCGTTTTTAGATTCAGTATTTTTTAAAACATCGATATAAATAGTCGTCACCATGTCCGCTGTTATATATGTACATACATATATAACAGCGGACATATATATTACGTACCAAAGGGGACCCTATATACATATTATTTTATTTTTAAGAATGAAAAATATTTAAGCTGGTAGAATTAAGTTCTTTATATTGTTCTCGCATATGCAATGCTTAAACCATGAAAAAAATCACCCACTGAATAAGTAATCAGTAATGACTTTACCTCAAGTTACAAGTATACTTTAATTATAAATTGTTCTTTCAATTTCACAATAGGAAATCTATTATACCTACCTTATATAAAATAAAGAAATAACAGAGAAATACTTAATTATAAGTATTATACATTAAGTAAATGATAATCTTTAATAAGTTTTGTAATACCTAATTAAAAAATAGGTAAATTCTTAGAAAACATTTTGCAATCGTCTTTATATTGTAGTAGTGTGAAATACTTAAATAGGCACTTTTTCGCATCATTTAGTCCCTATTTCTACGAGAAAATGTTCAAAAGTACTTTCTTAGTTGATGTGTAGATCTAACTTAAAGATATTTTTCAAATTTTAGCTTTGTTGACGCAGTACATGTTTATTTTTGTTTGGCTGTGCGTTGATATTATAATCATTTTTTTATTGAAAAGTATATTAAACCGCAATTCAAGTAAAAGTTTTCTCACGGACTCGAGTTGGAGTAGGCGTCTCCGTTAGTCTGTCTGATATACTTATATAGATTATACGTGATGGAAAGTAGCGCATATCGTTTAAGCCAAATTTTACAAAAATACAATAATATAATTTCATGTGAAGAGACATTACATTTGAATGCCTCTTCTCTTGAATAAATCATTGATATTATATTAGGAGTTGTTCAAATTGACGTTCATTGTCGAGTTACTTGTCATTATTAAGTTTTCTAGCGTACGTTTTTCTAGAAACTAACCACACTCTTGCACACTTTCACGGACAAAAACTGCATGCAGTCGTATTTCTAAATTTGAATATATGATATTGAAAACTACAAGAAAAGAATATATATCTCTCTAAAATTCCGGCAACATTCTTCTAAATCGTAGGTGCTGATAGACGGTGGTAGTCACTTAGTAATAATAAAATAATATTATAATATTAATATGATGTCGTTGAAGATAATTCACGCAGCATTATCTAGTGCCCATTGCAACATTCATGAGTAAGATTGTTACTAATGGGAAGTAACAAACCGATTGTCAGAGATATATTCTTTTCCCCATTATTCTTCTAATGACTTCATTGTCTTTCTATAAACTTTCCTTGGTGCCTCTACCGGCTGCGCAGGTGAGAGCATCACTATATTTTTTCTGATGCTAATGAGCATCATAAGAAAATATAACTTATCTACAGTTTACCATAGATGACCAATTACTTATGCTTTGCATGTACCTTCGTATGATAATTTCAACATGATGATGCCAACCTCTTTGTATTCATCACATGTACCTGCCGCGTTAGTTTTAGTACGAATAACCTTCATTTCTATATTGATATAATCAGTGTTGTGAATAATATGCATAGTAAACTTGATTTCTATTCACATAATCGTTTCTATGCGTGTAAAATTGGCTATTACTCGTGATTTTGTCTGCTTTTTATTACATAAAAGTTAGCATATGTCCGCGTTCAATCTATCTTCGCGTCAAATTTCATTAAGAATGTTTAACCGTTTAGTCGTTTAATAGATGACAGACAACCAGGCAGACACATACTTTTCCATTGTAATATTAGTATGAATAAAATATAAAACAATATGCACTCTTGTTTGATTAATTAGTAAACTATATAGCAAAAATAAATATAAGAACTGAAAATAAAAAAAAATGTCACATTAGATTATTACTCCGTCACCATACGGAGACCTTAGCATTTGCAAATTAATAAGTACTTTCTCACGGTACACACCACTCGTGTTTAAATTGTGTTCAATTTTGATTTGAATTACATATTTACTTATCCACACATCTGTGTTCACCAGGGTTTTTAGAGACAATATTACCTACACAAAATTGTCCAATTTAGACTGACTTTATTGGCTTCTTTTACATCTATCAACGTATTCAAACAAGTACAAGTACCTACTTGCAAGTAACTCGAATGTACGCAATAAAAAAATATTATTAAACAATATTTCCAACTAGTATAAATGATAAAACAAAACAAAGAATTTTTTTGCTAGACAAATATTCAGATTAACGCTGCAAAATATATATAACTCTGTATTAAACAGGCGTTAGTGTAGTTAGGCGTTAATGTTGTCGCCTATTAACTTCAAAATTCTTAAAACCAACTCTTAAATCTGTCTACATTCGCTAAGAGTTCGTACTCCTATTAACTTTTAATTAAATAGACACACTGATTTTCTTTTTATATCGATCTAAAGTGAAACTGTAGAAAGGTAATCATACGCACGTAAAAGTACGCACTTGCAGACTAAATCATAAAACCTCGAGAGTAAAGATTATACTTAAGTTGAGATGAGTGAGATGAAATTGCATTGAGTTAAAAATAGGATAGTACTGAAATTATAGACAGGCATATAACTTAATATTTGCCCGCCAAAATGTAGACATGTTACAACTGATACTAGCGACCCACCTCGGCTTTACACAGGTGTAAAGTGTATGTGTAATTGTATGGCTGTCATCTAAGTAAGTATCTAGTTTATACATGTAAAACGTTCCGGAAGAAATTCATGAAATTATATAGAATGAGTGGAGAAACAGACTGAATCAACAATTTACGTTGTTTAACAACTAAAACGTTTTATATTGTCTTTAGATGATATTGGCTGCATTATTAGAGACAGAGATGTGGTGTCAGTTCTATCAGCCCATTACTTTATTTTCCATTTCAAATCCTTTCAAGAAGAACAATAATTTCTTTCAAGAAGATTTGCAGCTCCTAGTAATATGGAAATTACGTGGATATCTAAGTATGTTGATTGCTAGGAATGACGTGAAAGTTTCTGTACATCCCAACATGTAGTTGTCTACGTAAAATTTATATCCTGTAACAAACCTAAATAATCAAGCAAATCGAAAAATTGGAAAGACGTTTTTCTTTCGATATTACGGAACTCCTAAAAGCAATGTTCGTTTTTAGATTCAGTATTTTTTAAAACATCGATATAAATAGTCGTCACCATGTCCGCTGTTATATATGTACATACATATATAACAGCGGACATATACATATATTACGTACCAAAGGGGACCCTATATACATATTATTTTATTT